TCTTGGTCCCAGGCGCCAATCTCTTGATATAAGGATTTTGTGAAAAATCAATGGAGGATTTGAATGGGAAAATTTAATTCCGGAACCAGAGTAGCCAAAAAAAAGAGCCGCGAACCGAACGTCCACTTCCTTCCAGTTCGTTGTTGATAGCGTCCATAGCAACCACCATAGCAACAGTAGAAAACTCAACATTCCAACGTTTTTCTATCAAGACCTGAAAGAATCTTCGTAGAAACAAACAAACTAAAGATCATAAAGATAAACCGAACAAAGATTATGAAGATACAATGTACATTTGTCGCCAGAAAGGTTATCAAAACGACACTTGAGCCTCAAACTATCTTAAAATATTGCATTTTCACCGAACATAGAAGGGATGTCCGCCATGTTTTTCTTTTCGCCAGGGGAAAACTGGGCAGTCACGTGACCTGAGGTATACCTATACAAAAGAATAGGCAAAAGGAAACGTACAGCCCTGGTTGTGAAACTACTACGTTTTGAGCTGTAGACCAACGTAGGTATTACACATTTTGACATGACTAGGTTGTATAAATCATATATCTAAATAACCAATGTCATTAAGATTTGGTGATAAACATTAAGTGTATTCCTTCACATCAGAATAGTAAACAATAGTAAACAAGGAAAAACTGAAAGACCTGACAACTCAACTGAACATCTGATACAAAATATGATAAAAATTACACTTGTCAGTGAAGAGATGAAAAAACTGCAATGGATGATATAATCAGATCTTTGATGAGCGAGAAAGACACAGTAACCATCCTCATGATTTTTTGAAGTAAAAATTAAGTCATATCCAGCTACATTTTCCATACGTTTCTATTATTAGATTTTAATTACATCATGTTGTTGCTCTTCTCTCATGATTTGTTCTCAACTTCTTACTCTTTTGTAACAGCAGTGAACAAAGACACACTGTTCTGCAATTTCATTCGACAATTTTCCTGGAATTTTGTTACGATTTCAAATAAATTAAGCTTGAAAACCTGTTTCATGTGTTTGTTGTACAACTAATGGAAAGCACAGATGTCTTAGTTCTGTTTTGTGTGTATAAATAAGCCTTACCCTTCGCTTTCCTTAACTTCCTAGGACATATTATACTCCTTTTCCACCTTTTAAAACAGTCCCCCTGTGGTCCAAATAAAAATTCTGTGTTGTGCTTTGGTCAAAATATTACATCAATCAAGCACCAGAGGAGGTTTGTGACCCTGTATAAACCAGCTCTCTCAGAACGCTCCGTTTTGGTGTGTGTGTCTCTTTAAATGCAATGAGCCCCCCCTGAGTTTTCCCCGTAGACATCACTCCTCTGTAGTGAGAATAAAAATGGCGGATCTGCGCAACAGTTTTGTTTTAGGCTAGGGGTGGAGCTACCAGGGGAGGGGAGGGTATTATTTTTTGAACCAGAATCCAACTTGTGATGTCACAAGGAGAGCAAATTTGGAACGGCACATTTTTCTCTGTGTTGTAAGACTTATGCAGACCACAAACAAAGGACTGGATATGTTTATTTCACATTTTGTGGGTCAGTAGACACTCAGGTTACCCAAATATATGTTCAAAACACTGTCAAAGTGGATTTTTCACAATATGTCCCCTTTAAAAAAACTATCATCTAAACTCGCCTGGTGGACAGGTAAACCTGAGACGTCTTGTGATGAATAAGTGGGTAAGAAAGAAGCAAAAACAAAGTCTTGCACCTTATCAATATTCAGTTTTGGACCTTACCAGCCCCCATCCCTTCCTTTTTTTTCAAGATTTTGGATAATTTCACCACTTTGGGTCTGAAACTGTAACTAAAGTGAAACCATGTGAAAAGTTGAAAGGGGAAATCTCTCTTTGATCGAACCAATAAGACTTTATAGACATCTGGAGGCGTCACAAACCAAAGAAAGTGGAATCACTGCTTTAATGTCAACTATGCATTTTTTGTATCGTATCTTATAATTTGCAGTCAAAGAAGCTGAGATTAATATAGTGGTGTAATTATATAATACTATCTGCCCTTACCTTGAAGAGGAGAAATTGGTTATCCCCCAAACCGTTTGATATACTTTCACATAGGGCAGTTTACGATTCGTCTGTGTTTAATGAGTTCAGGCGTGATCAAAGCTGGGGTTCCACTGCATCATTTTTGTTCAGGGACTTCCTAAGACACACCTCCTCTGGCATCATTTCCTGTCTCGTGTTATGACGTGTGATATAATCAGCTGCATTGGTGGGTGTGTGGATGTTGGAGTGCGCACATGCACGTGCAAGCAGACATGTGTGCGCCTTGCACAAACATACACACACCCCTTGTCCTTGAGGCCCAGTTCTGGCTAAGAGTTTCTGGCTGACCAGAATTAAAACTGACTCTAGGAAACATACACACTCGAAACACGTACTCACACACAATTTCACACCTAAGCAGATGCAAAAACTGAAATAAGTGGCTGTAAACAATGATATACTTTACTTCAAAGAAAGCCCATGATGCAACGCTGTCAACATGTGTTTGTGATGCACCAGAAAGTCATGTCTGAGTGCAGGACACATGGCTCCAAATTGCACGTTTCAGTCAGCTTGTCTGTGGTGCACGTGATCTGTTTTCTGTCATTGGCAGAAAGAATATTTATAGATAGGACGATGAGAGACATTGTTTCCATGGAAAATAATGGGAGCCATACACTGCACACTCATAACCTTTTGAAACACACAACTTTATGACTTTTTCAATTACCCTTCAAATTATTTTCCGTTTGTTAATATGGAGATGTGGGGACCCAAACCTGGGAGCCCACTTTGCGGCACAGATTTACCTTCAATCTCTGGACCAGATCTATGCTCCAAAATAAACTTTTTATATCGGGGTTACAACATTTAGTTTTTTGTTGAAGTTGATGATAAGGCATTAAGGTAAAGACTGTTATCATTAAAAATATGCATTACATGACAGTTTAGGTAAGATATTATAGAACCCACACGTGTGTGCAAATATTGATGATGGTTTCAGAGCTGAGGAAAACATTATTATGGCACATTTTGTCACATTGTTTTTGTCTGCAAAGCTGTGAGAATGATATATTTGCGTTTGTTTGTTTTGGCCAAGACTTTGTAATACTACAGAGCTTTATGTAGTCAAGGTCCTTCTGTGAACTCTTCTTACGCACTGTTAAACATAGGTTTGTCCATCCCAGAGAATGGATCCATTTGTTGCTCTGCTTGTGATTTCATTCAGAGCTGCTTCATTCAGCGTCAAGTTAAGGAACATCTAGTACAGCCAGTACCAAAGTGGTTTTTCTTCTTCACCTACAAAGAGGGTCTGTGTTAAGAGAATTGTAAATGTTTTAATTGGACCTTCCCTTAATTGTAATTGTCTTTTAGTGGCCATTATAATGCAGCTATTTAAATTGCACTTTTCAGTCATGGTGACATGCTCAAAGGTCTTATATTGACGTTAAAAAAATGCGGACTGTATAAAATATTGGTGTAGATGCAGTAAAGTTACCCATTGTTTTCTGAAGCTCATATAGGAAATGCTTTCTCAAACTAGTAACAGTGCAGTGTTTGCAATATAGACATATATTCATACTTTTTATTTGTATTTGTCAATATTTCTGCTGTGAACATGGACTTATGGGGTGTGTACTGGACTTCAAGGTCTTGTGAACACAACCTCAAGTAGACACTTGAGAAACTGCAGTTTTTTGCACTTCCACATTGACTTTAATATTTAACACCAGAGGTTGCTGCTTGATAAGAACATAATTTATATTGACACAGTCAGATCAGCATGTGTTCTGCTTATAGGGAGGGTTGGCCCGGGATATCAAACTGTTTTTTTTTGCACTTCTGTGTTGGCTTCATTCTTCAACACTAAAAGAAAATGGGTCAAGTTAAGCAAGCGCAAATACTCAGTCATTAAACCATCGATCAAATGAATAACAAACATGACAGGTGCAAAATAACAAAGAATTGTGCAACTATAGGACAACATATTGTGTAAAAAATGACAAAACAAAGGAATGCATTGGAACATTAATACATTTTGGATCAATTATAATACAAAGGAAAGGTGAAAATAGTTAACGGCAGTCTCGGAAAACTTTTTAAGATGTGAAAATGTTGGCTGTCGATCTGTAGATTCTCTAAGGTGTCACGAAGGACTATTAAACAACAAATTAGTTATGTGGTGCAAACCAACAACACTATCCAACCCCAGCTCGCGACCTGGACTCACGTTGCACATCTTGTGCAATATGGGTAGTGTGCAATATATGTTGTGTTGTTTTGCATTAGTATATGCCTTTCTGTTCTGTTTTTTTTTTGTTTATTGATTCTAATGGAAGAAGCTGAATGTTGTTTGACAGCACTTCGAGTCCAAGACAAATTTCCCCAAGGAGACAATCAAGTGTATCAAATCGTATCGTAGAGCCACCATAGTTGCCAAGTGCAGAGTATTAAGTGAGAAATGTTGCAATGTGACTTTTTCACAAATATGCATATTCATTCACAAATTACATATTTTGTGTGTTGGTTTGGTGCACAGACAATTAAAATCTGAATACTACTAGATTCATGGCTATGCAGAATTTGGAAAATTTCTTGTGAATGTCATATGCAGAATATTAAGACTCTAAACCCTAGAGTGCATGAAATCATACTACAGCGTTAGACGAGCTAAGAAAATGAGACAGAAAAAAGAGGGATATAGAGAAGGACTATGAGAACAATGAAAAGTGTCAAAAGGCCTCCGCAGATGGAAAAAAGGATCGCTGGGACCACACCAGACAAAGCAGAGAAAAAAAAAGAAAACAGAAAAACAGACAAAGAGGGGGCAGGAAGCTTTGAGAAAACTTTCATTCCTTTTCCAGAGAAAAAGAGTGTGAGGTGAAGCCAGAGAAAGGGAGAGATGGGGGGAGGGTAATGGGAGTGGGTGTGTTCAGTTCTGTCTGTCCCCTCCCTCCATAACAGAGGTATAGATGGTGCAGGAGCATCCACAAGTCCAGTCCAGTGAGCTGCACTAGTCCTGAGAGCCACTAGCTCAGAGAAGTAGTCCAGCCACTCCAGAAGCATTTCAGATCCAGAACCTTGCAGCTGCAGCGAACACCAAGCTTAAACTTTTCATAGATTTAACTCAATCATTGCTGAGTGATAGCCTCTTATTTCTTCATCACACTCCTGCTCATTCAGATTACACCTGAGACTCTGAACACAATTGATGATGGGGATGCAGCAATGCTCACACAGCTTTCTAGTCCTTCTCCTCATTGTCTTCATCTTTGGGATTGCCCTCTCTGGCCCATCAATGCCCCGCAGGAGCAGAGGTAAGATTATGCATGAACCAGAGTTATTGCATGTTGAGTGATGTTTGTAAAATATGACCATCTTTGCATGTGGGTGTCCAGTTCAACATAGGTGAAAGTGATCATTAGTGTTATTTTTGCTCTGTGTTGGCGCTGTGATCCACTGATGGCTTTTCAGAAAATGATTTCAAATGCATGCTGGGATATGCTTGGAAAGACAATGTGTCACAGAAAATAAGAATCTTGAATAAAAGACAAGCAAAAAATATTTTTTACCATAACCATCTTCTGCAAAGTATTCTGAGTGATGGATACCACATGATACATATCATTTGTACCATTAAAACAAAACTTGGGTGAAGGGGGAGTTTACAAGTTTCAGCAAAAACCTTTATTGGCAGGGCTGTCAAAACATTTATCACGATTAATCACTGAATTTGAATAGTTAATAGTGATTAATCATAGTTTTGCTTTTTAATTTGTGTACTGTCTTAAGACTGAGGGCACTCTACTTCCTGTTTGGATACAAACCTGCATTTATTTTGAAATAAAACAAGGAACTTCCTGTAGAAAGAAGTTTATATTAACTTAACGACAGAAAAAGAAAACGTTACAGTTAAAAAAAAATCATCAAAACAGCTAAAGGGAACAGTAAAGAAGTGAAGTGTTTGATGTGACTAGGTGGATATTCATTTTGACTCAATTGTCCAATGAGCTGTCTGGGAGTTTTTTAAAGTAAAATGAGACATTCAAAGGTGCAGCAGGGTCGTTCCTTTCCATGACTGTGGCTACAGGAAGGCTTACCTATCATCTTGGATCAAGCTCCTGGTTTTACCCACAGTAGATGCCTTAAGGGACAAAATAGCATACAATTAATGTGATAAAAAAAGAATGCATAAATTGTGAATGATGCTGACAGCCCTATTCATTTGTTTAAATATCTGGGCAAGGAAACGCTTTAGGTGCTGGCTGCTTTTCCAAAGAATATTTACTAATTACAAACACTGACCACAACATTTGGCTTTAATAAAAGGTGCCGCAAGTGTTTCTCACAGACTTGTTTTCTATGCTGCACTTGTGAGGAGTAGAGTTAACTCGAATTGCTGGTGTCTTTCAAGAGCAATGTGCCATAATTGTACCTTAAATTGCAGTTAAAAGACTCTTTCCAGCTCTTATATGTTTAGAGTTGTTGAAGCTTATTTGCTCCTGATACAATAGAACACAATACATGTGCACACACCTCCCACACTAAGGGATTTAACATGACACACCACATACTGACTTATAATACCTGCACAATGCTGCTGAACCCAAAGGGGGAGCCTCTTGAGCTACCTGTCAGGCTTTCAAATTACCTTGATTTTTTTTACAACCGGTTTGTTTGATCCACGTTTCCCTGAAATGAGGTGAGCAGACACCGTGAAAGTGTCAGTTGCCGCTGAGAGGTTTTAAGTGAAAGTGTTTCCAGGTTTGGGGGTCAAGGGTTAGACTTGTGGACATGTGGATGGGACGACTTTCCTGGAACTGTGCCCACCAAGCAGACGATCTGATGAGTTTATAATTCGGGTCATTATTTTCATTCCCTTCTTCAGGAAAACGTTTTTTTTTTTTTTTAAACTACACAAATACAGTCCTAGCCAGTGCAAACACACACTGTACAGTGTTTCTTCAAAGTCACAGCATCATTTGCACTATATGAGCATTCACAAAGAAAGTCACTATGGTGGATGTCACTTGTTTGAAGATAACCAGTTTCACAGCTCTCACCCCTCTCACTCCCTACATGGACTGTTTTCTTTTCCAACCTGCCTTTAAGCAAAGCTCTCTGTCTGATTAGGAGACTCATGAACAGAAAACTTTCCACAAACGTTTCCCGCACTGCCTCATTATCTCACTGCGGGGTCAGTGCACAAACTAACACACACACACACACACACACACACACACACACACTGCCACACACTGACCTCTGGCTTTTCATCCCCGGCTCTACTCTTTGCAGTCATCCTCTTGTTGCTTGTTAGATCTGGGTGGCTTTTGAAGACTTTGATGTAGTCGAAGTAAAGCGAGGTTGGCAGTCTGGATTTGTTATGGAGAGGTAACCGGGGTGGTTACACTGTGAATAAAACTAATTCCACTGCATAACTTGCTTGCTGAGTTTGGCTTTGCAAACAAATCTCAATGTGCAGCTTTGGGAGCCAGATGAAAGGAGCTGTGTGTGTGTGTGTGTGTGTGTGTGTGTTTTGACTTTGGGTGGAGAGTGTAACGTCTGTATCTCTGTTCATCTTGGATCAAGCTGCTGGTTTTAAGAATGACTCATCGTATCCAATGCCAGTGAGTAGTGTTTGTTGACCGTTTCATAGATATTGTAGAATAAAACACTTGGCGATGACAGGTGCATCCACTGTTAGTTGGTCTGAATCTCACAAGGCTTTTAATTCCAGGTTCCTCTACTACATATGTTTCCACTACTTAGAAAAGGGCAGAGTGTGTGTACATCAAAAGATCCTATATCTGAAAGAGTTTAACTTTTTGTAATATGGGAAATAAGTCATCACTTCCCCTCATCAGGACAATACGTGGCTGGAAACTGCCAAACAAAATGCGAGCACATCTCATGAACAGATAAATACGGATGGAAATATGGAAGGAGATGGGAAATTGGAGGACCAAACAGATAGATTTGGGGAACTTAATGATGCTGAAAGAGTATCAGGTTAATGCTGACACATATAGGACAGCAGTGATTGAGTGAAGGAGGAGAAGGATGGGATGGAGCAGCGCCACAGGGGAAGAGAAAACAGCTGTTGCTCCGTAAAGCCTGACAGGGGAGATATATAGTGTGAGAGCAGAGGGAGACCAGCAAGGGCCAGGAGTATAATCCCAGGCGCAGCTTGGCCGTGCTGGACCTCGAGGTGAGGATTCTTAAGAACCCGAGAGATGTGATTTTCCAGAGAGAACTGCGATCAAAAAGGGTTCCGAGGGCTGGATTTCAGCAATTTGCAGGCTTGAAATATTAGAGCTAATATAGGTCAGCTCGACTGCCCTTTACTCGCCAGCTAAATGATTTCAAACCCTCTGTGCGCTGTCTGGCGCGAGGGCTCGGATACATTTTCACACTTCATTGCCTTAAATGAAGGTGACTTTTTTCACAAAGGGGCCATAAAACATCTGTCTGTGTCTCCACTGTGTGGGAAGCCAAGACTCCTCTCCACCTCTCCTCTTTTCAGAGCAGAAACCAGAGAGGCTGAAACATGTTAGAGCTGCATGAAATCACACACTAGTCATTCACAGGAGGAGGGATATTATGTGTGTTTGTGTGTGTGTGTGTGTGTGGAAGGGCGTCATTTGCTGGCAGTTTGATTGATAGTATGGACGTGACATTGTGAGATACATGGGTGTTTTTTAGAGCTAGATGTCATACCAGTAAATGGAGTTGATACCCTCATTTAGTCAGGGGGATTTACAATCTGCAGAGCTCAGCTGTGAGGTCCAGCTACACAAAACCAGACAAATGAACATGGCTTCATTATTCTGTATTCCTTCCATCCATCAGGACTTAAACATAGTCCTCCAGGGAAAGGAAGAAAATGTCTTTCATTTCTTCCTAAAAAAACAAAACAAACCTTTTTGTCCTATCTTTTTGAAGGCTCTGCTTTATAGATAAAAAAAAGTTCCCATGTAAGTTGATGTAAAGTCTTATTATGACCCGTGTTCTCTTACAACCCTCCTCGTCATCTGAACCGAGAACAGTTGAGCACAAGACCGCCGCCAGTGCTGGAAATCTGTTTACATCCTGACAGTAAATCAGGATGTGTTCATGCCAGAACTACTCAATGCTGTACAGATCCACGCTTTAAGATTTGTTTTCAAGCACACATAAACATATCATGTTACTCAGAAGCTGAGAGCAAAAACAAGTGTGTCAACCTGACAACCCCATTAACCCTACTCCCACACCCTGAGGATCATCTGTTACTGGCCGTGACTGCCAAGACCGAGCTTCCAGATTGATGTCGTTACTAATTGTTCGCCATATAAGGCAAACAAAAAAAAAAGAGAAAAGGATGGGAAATCTGGTAAGATGTTTATTGAATGCCGTGGCATTGTTTATTACATGATCAGATTTGTTTACTGGCTAACTTCGAGCACAAAGATGGATTTACTCGCACTGTTATGGTTGCTAAATTCTCAGCCCGAGGGAAGAAAGCTCGCCTATGTCATGATGTTTAGATTGAAAAGGGATTCATTGTAACAGTGAGAGTTACAGGATATTATACTAAAGATCGTCACTCGCATCAAGAATGGGAATGACATTTGAGGAACTGTCTCCAGAACCTGTGACCAACACAGTGGAGAGCAACTTGTGGTTTGGTGTCTTGCTGTATGACACTTCTGAAATGTATATGCCAACCTTGTGATAAGTGGACGACCCACTGATCGATTGTGGACGACCTTATGTATTCCATTTTATGTTAAAAAGAAATGTAAACTGAAACAATGGACTCTGTTTCTCTCTGGTACACCTGTTAAGTGACACATTCATGATTATTCAAGGCAGGATTATGGATTTAATTAAACTTTAGTTACATTCCCTTTGGTAAGGTTGTAAATCTTGTGTACACCAAGCAAGCACACACACACAACATGACTGTATGGCTAAGCAGTTTATTCTTTGAACTGTCGTAGATCAATGTTATGACCGAGGGGCAATTCCTGTCGCTTTATTCATTGTTCTCTGGAAAAACTGATAAGTCTTTACAGTCCCAGTGTTGGCCAAAATGGCTTATGACAGGGTGTCGCAGGACTGGGCCGGGGTTTGCTCGTACTTGAGTTTAAAAGCACAACGAAGTTTCCTAATAATAATAAAACTCCGAGCCCCTCTCACCCTGAGCCAATCTCACTCTTGTTTATCAGAAATATTGATGGGAAAATCAAAACAAATACAGTTTTGATAGAAAACACATAGCTGGAAGAGTGTGAGGGTATTTTTTCTTATCCAGGGCTTCCCCCTCTTGCTTTCAGTGTCTGATTTGGCATCTTGAAGCTGTTGGCATTTATCCTCAAGCAAAATTCCATTATTTTCCATTATATCATTTGATGCTGAAATATTAACCAAGGACATGTGCTGTTGAAATAAAGTGCAGCACAAAGCATAATCGCTAGCCTTGTTGACTTTAAGAATTTGAAGTTTGACCTCCCAAAAGACTCATTTGAGTTTTTCATAGAGGAACATGATTCAAACCAAGTTCAATTAACACATTTACCCTAAATATAACTTGATTTAAAAACACTCAAACCCTGGTTAAAAAATAACCTCAACATAATGAAAACAGTCTCAAAATGACAAACCTGTCTTTCTTTCTGTTACCACTGCTCCCCATTTATCATCCTCGGCTGCATTGGTGTGGTTATTTATTGTTTTACATGTGCAAAGGTCCAGCTGTCAGTCATAAGTCACGCTTCTGGTAGAGTTGCAAAAATTCAGCTAAAATGTCTGATCTAGACTAGCATGCCTGCTACAAATTGGATAATTGTTAGCATGCGCATTTCTTGGCAACCAGCAACATGGTGAAAGCAAGTGAAGAATTCACATTAACTGAAGTCCTAAGATTGCTTATGACTTCACTTAATGTGAAACGTTAAACAAAGTACACCATTATAATAAGCTAGCTTTGGAAAGTGAGAATTTTATTTCAGCAATAGCCATTGGCATACATTGTTGTGGAAATGATATACTGTAAGAGATTGAGATGCAATTTTGCAAAGCTGGTATGTAAAAAAATACAGATTTTTAGAATTTGTGCCTGAATGTAATAAGACTAAAAGACAGAAATCTACTGATCCACCTTTCAGTGCTGTCACCAATTAATTCAAATGTGAGTTGGTCATGAGCACATACATTTTTTTAATGGTTGAGTGGTTAAGTTTGGAATCAAGTACTCTGCTGGTGCTTTCTGTGCAGTCTCTGACCTCAAACTAAGTCAAGTTGTTTATGCCTGCTTTGACCAGTAATAAACAAGCTGTCTTGGCTTTGCTTTATTCTTACACGCCCATCGATGCCTGATCTTTTCTAATGTCTGTTCCCTGGCTGTACTGATTAGGACTGTTTTCTGTAGAAGTCAGCTCTGGAAGAAAATGTGAGGTTTCTTGTAAAGTGATGTCAATGTGCTCAGATGTCATTTGTGTGCCAGCATGATATCACATCCTTTTCTTCTCAACACAAGCTTTTGTTGCCTTGCTTAAGTTTTAATAACTCATGCTCACAGATTTAAACTTATAGAAACAGAATTCACATTTCAGAAGCTTTTTTCTGAACCCACTAACACCCCATTAAATATATTATATTATATAATAATGTTTATGCTGCTTTAAGTGGCAGATCCTTAATATGAATCTCTCTGTAAAAGTTATTCTCTTATCCAGTTAAAAGGCACTCAAAATATTAAGTACTTCTTCATGCAATGTTCTCCTTGAATATAATCCCCATTATTAGTTTTCAGTAGAGCTTACAACTCAGCAGGTTTTAAAAACCAGCAACATCTGACTACATGCATCCCTTTCATGCACCTGTGAGGTTATGGGGAGTAGAAGTTTTGGATTGGAAAAGTCAAGGTTGTACAAATAATGGCTTTTACATAACTCTCTGATATTGGTGACATAAACGGGAAGCAGAGAATATTGTATGTATATAACACGGTAAACTTTCCATTTGGAACAAATGTGTCCTCTCTTGCCTCCCCAGTGAGACGTCAGAACATGAAAGTCCGTATCAACGCCACGGGAGACACCATCGTGATGAAGTTTTTGCGTCCCAACTCCGACACCAAGCTCGAGGGCTACATCCTCGGCTACGGCAGCAGCATGTTCTCCAAACAGTTTATTCAGCTGCCTGAGAACGGACAGCTATATGAGACAGAGTTCGGTAAGGCTGTTGCTACGTATGCTTTTAAAGTTTCTTTTGAGAGGTGAAAAACATCTGCTGTGACTCCTATGATGCACATGTGAATTGCATTTTAACCTTTTTAGTCATGGTAAAAAGAGAAAGATGTTCGAGCTCTGGGGATCTATAAATCCTTAGTTTGTTCTTCCCAAGCAGCGACCTCTGGGGCTGGAAAATGAAGCCAAGGTGGAAGTGCCAAAAACTGCAAGTCTGCAAAAGACACTTAAGGTTTAAGGCAGGTTAGCCTATGTCCACATTCATGGCATCTTTTAAGAGAGTTTAAATATTTTTTAAGCCACACATTAAACTATATTAAGGCAAAAACACTAATGGAATTTTGAGGTGAAGTGCCATTTGGGTGGTGCTAGCAGTCTGTTGGGTGTTACCTAAGCTTAGGGCTTTCGGTGTAGCCAGGGGATGTCCATACAAACAAATTGTTCCGAATTATCTGGGCTGAGAACCTGTTTTTAAGCCCCTTGCATGTTTTACAGTCCCGCTAGTTACTTTGGAGGTGAAAATTGAGATGAAAGATGACATCATGTACTTTTATGCAATTATTTATTTACAGAAATGAATTACAAGCAAAATTAAATTTGGTGATAGCCAGCGGGAGTTTATGTACGAGTTATAAAAATAAAAAATAAAAAAAACAAAACCCTCATGACTCATGCTCCAAAAATACAAGACTTGAAAAAATCCAAAAAGCTTGAAAACAGCTGTTGTAAAAAAAATGGTTGTAATCCTGGTGACTATGTTTGCTTCCAGTGAATTCTCTTCTTTTTTTTTAGATGCTGAGCCCAAGTACCTTATAGCTGTCCAGCCCATCCCAACCAATGACGTGAAAAAGCAATGCACAGGTAATGCTTTTATCATGAAGGTCACATAGTAAACATAGATTTAAGAAAGTGAAAGTACAATGTTATTTTCTTTCCAGGTAAAGTGGAACTGGAGAAGCCACTACACTTAGTCATTGGGTCGGTAACGCCAACTTCAGTCCTCCTGTCCTGGGGGACCCTGCTGAAAACCCCCTATGAAGGCAATGTCATGAAGGACTGTGTTGAGGATGGGTAAGCTTCCAGACAAGCAAACACATACTCGTTATCCTTTATCATACACTGTGTTTAGGCTCAGCAGCTGAGTATATCCTACAGAGAAACAGCTGGTTTCAAACTTTGAAGAATAGTACCAAAGCATTAAGATTTCAATAAAAGCCTTTTGATTTCATGTAAGCAGTTGTAACATAGTTTAGATGAGCATAGAAACAGATGGTGGAAGGATAGGTGACTCACACACTGTTGAACACACAAACACATGTTGGTTTGGGCACCGACTCGGGTAAAACTGCGTTAACAGTAAATGATTCACATGAGTCTCTCAGGTTACATCATGCGGCACAAAGCCATTCTGAAAACTTTTGATGAGAAACTCTATACCTGCACTTTGAAACAAATCTCCTCTTTTGTCAAGAATAGTTTTATGTTTGGAATAAAGTTACAAAGCCATCAGCCCTTTCATTGCGAGGAGTATTTTCACATCATCAGGATGATGTTTCCTGCCCGTCAGTTTCATGCAGAAAAATTATTGTGAAACAACACTGGCAAATTTCAGATGGACAATTTGTTACATTTTCCGTAAAGGACAACTTTGTCAGCATTGGTGTAATGAATATTGAATACTGATTGAAAGGAAAACTGGGTTTATGGTATCCTGAAATAATTAGCAGCACTTACTTGACATTAGCTGTGAGTGCTCTTGATTAAACGTCATTACCCCCTCTAGTTGGCAGTTAAATCGTCGACACACAATATGGTTTTGAAACCATATTTATCATGGTTTATCTGTGTTAAGTAAATTGCTAACTTTGCTCAGTGTTTTAACTTTAGACATGTCAATCTTAATTTAAATTTCCACCAGTAAATTAGTCGCCAGGATAGGGTGACAATATGTCTTTGAGACAAAAAAGGCAAATTCATTGACTTTCCACCATTTGTATTTCTATATTCACTTTTTGTTTTTCTTGAAAAACAGAATTGAATGTTTAGGAAGTTCAGTTTTTCTGTCTTTGGCTCAGACACTACACGGTGCGTTATCGTGAGAGGAACAGGAAGTGGAACTATCAGACCTGCCCAACTAGTGACACCGTCATTGACCATCTGAAGCCTAATGCAGTCTACGAGTTTGGTGTTCAGCCCAACTCTAAAGATGGCACTGGAGTGTGGAGCAAACCAGTCATCCACAACATAAGCTCAGGGGGCATAGAGGGTAAGTGTGACGCAGTGGATGGATTGTCGTGTCTTGACATGTGGACAAATGTGGCAGTATTGCTATTTTTTAGGGATTTTTGGCCTTTATTAGATAGGACAACTTTGTAAGGAAAGAGAGAGAATGGAAGAGACATGCACTAACAGTGTCAGAATTGGGATGTTTAGGAGATATAGTCCTGCTTGATCAAAAACATCTAGTGGAAGCTTGTATTATTTCACAACTGAAAAACTGTCCCTTTACATTTTTTTTTTTTAGATAAAATGCGTCTTAACATGCTTGTAATAGTGTTTCATAAAGTTCATTCACTTTTATTGTAATCCTCTGTCCTGATTTGATTTTTTGTGTCACATTTCCAGAGAAGGCCATCAGGAAAATCTTTAAACGTCCAGTCCCCCCTGTGGTATGTATAGGACTAAATGAAATTATTATCAAAACATATGCAGCCCATTCTACTAATATTATGAAGTCCTTTTTCTAAATTTCCATTTGTGTCTCTTTTACTGCTTTGTGATACAAGTTGAATTTGCCAAATGAAATCTGTCTTAACTTTGAGACTGAAGTGAAGTACTTAGACTGCACAGGTACACTTCTCTTCAGAATAAATATTTTTGGGAACAGGGTGTATATTTGGAAGTGACCGCATGCTTTAGAGTCCATGGTGTGTGCTTGTACAATTCTCTGGGTTGTTTGCCTCATTCATTTTCCACCCAACTGCAGAATGGAAACAGCACCAGTCAGCCAGGACCGGCCAAGCCAATAGAGCAGTCTATAGCGAGCTAACTTTTGGAGTGGAACAAAATACGGGGGACAAATAGGGAGATAGAGGGATGATGATGACGATGATGATGATGATGTTGAAATGAGTTTAGAGGAGAAGGGTGGCACTGATTTACCGACAGTGCAGGGGTTATGTTTCACATGCTTCCAGCTCTGTTCTCGTAAAACATCACAGCTGCAGAGAATCTGACACAGCCCTCCCCTAACCGACAGAAACCTTGAATAACAAGCTTTTTGCCAAGGATTTCACCAATTATACATAGAGTAGAGGGTCTAAGCATTATGAAACACAGAGAAAGCCGCAGAGAAAGAGATGAGATTAAGTTCATATGCTTATACTGACTATGTTGTTATAATAGGAAAGACTATGACCAATAAATGTCCTTGTTTTTTTCCCTCTGCCCTTTAGAAGCCGCTAACGACAGATCAACTCCCTTTCCCCTTTGCTCCTCGTCATGGTAAGCCAATAGAGGTTTGTTGCTTTTGGTCAAACCCACTGGACCCTTTTCAATACATCAGCAGATTTCTTTTTTTTTATGTACTATGATTTATCACTGCTGAGCAATGTCTGTTTGAACCTTCCCATTGACCCCACATTTAAGACTCATGACTGGAAAAATTTTCACTAAAACTTTGATTTATTGTTTTGCTGAAGGGACTTCACTTTGTTGAGTTTTTTTTTTAAATTCAGAATTTTTTTCTTTGATGGTTTATTGCAGGTCCCAAGTATGGTTCAGATGTTTTCAAACTTTGACCATGATGGAGATGGAAAAGAATTTCCAATCAGTATCAATAGACACAATGTTACCCAAAACCCCTAAAAAAATGTATAAGGTTGATCAGAAATGATTTTGAAGCAAATTACATGAAAGTTTTGGCAAAAGGAGAATCTACTCCAAGTGACACCAGAAACTTCTTTAGCTGACCACTTACGAGCATTAATTATCTGCTCCTATGTTCACATATTTTGCATTGGAAACCTGAAAATTTAGTTCCAAATGACCCACATGCTGCCCCTTAAATGAATCCCAGGAGACCCCATTTACAATAGCAAGCTACGGTTGTGGTAACTGCCGTTATGCTAGATAACTTGGTGTACACATCTTGTACCTTTGCCTCTTCTTCGGTTTTTTTAATGCCGTTTTGGTGCCGAAAGAAATGTATTGTAGTCAGGAGTATTGGGGTAGCTGGTTGTTTTGGTTACAGGCCCCAGTCTCTTGATATAAAGATTTGTGAAAAATCAAGGGAGGATTTGATTGGGTTACTTACGGAACCAGAGCTACCGTAAAAGTGGATGGTCACTGTTAAGCGCTATCTCTGTTAAAAAAAAATCTGATTTTACTGCTACAGAAGCACGAGGCTGCAATGATTACATTCTCCTCCATTCCTGACGTTATCATCTTCTGTCAATGCTGATTGGCTGTCAAATTTGTTGCTGAAGTTGAATATATTTAACTCACGGGTAGACATGAAAATCAGGGCACTAGTGTGACAATTCTATGTAGTTGCATAGCGTGACAATTACATTTGTGAGTGTACACAGCTCTCGGCCAATATACAAAACGTACTATAGTCAATCTTACATCCATTCTAGCTCTACTGAAGGACCTTAGTCTACTTTGACGTCTGAACAGAACACTTCTAACAGCAACTAGAACATCACTCAGCCCATGTTTTTGCTTATTTCATTGGCTTAGCTCCAAAAAACCAAAGTACACTACTAACCGTGCAACTTACAGCAGCAGAATAAGTTAACGACTAGCTGGCTAACATATTATAGAAGTTAAAGTACCAGATGTTACCTTTGTCAGTTGGTGATCCAAAACTGGCTAAAAATAATGAATATTACCCGCAGGGGTATAATAACATGTATTCCCCATTCCATATTCAGGTCATGTTATTGCTATGTTTACAGCTTGTGTCCACAGCTTCCATGAGGTCAAACAGCCTGAGATACCAGTTATTTGTACTGGGATAGAAGCCAGAATTATTTTACAGTTACTTTAGTTTGCAAGAAGATTATTCCCTAACATGACGCTTTTTTTCAGCATATTTTGAACTTGTTTACTGTGTGACTCTGACTTAAATCTTTCTTCCTATGTTCTTGTCAGTTCCCCATAACAGGACCAAGAGCAGAGTAACACTCATCAGGGAAATGTCTCCAAAGACAACTCTTGGTAATTCAATTTCTGACCTAAAACTGGATTAAGAAGTCAGACAAAAACTCTTGTCCTTATTTCTGACCTATACTACATGACTTCTCTATTACTATCCTGCAGATCTTGGCTCCTCTTTATTGTTCAGCAGGTTTTTCTGTTCATTTCACAGGACATATACAATTAAAACGTGTCTCCTGGTCTTCTAATGCACATTATATTTCTCAGCTCCAACCACAACTACTAGGCAGGAATCTCTGTCAACCCCTGGACCCAAACTACCTGTGGTCACCACACTGCCTATCGGTAAAAAAGACAATCACGGTTAGTTTATAAAAAAGCTTCATGGCTCTTACTGTGGCTGTATGCAGTCATAAACTTGGCCTTCAATAACTGAGATGCTGTCAGTGCTTCACAATGTCCTTGTAATGAGCTGCATGAGCAAGAGCAGCATGCTCTGTGTCAGTACAGAAGCTAGACTTTCCAGAGGAAGCCCATGGTGTCAGCTGATTGGGTTGTAGTGACAGTAAGATAGGTGGCCTTAGCTGCATGGCATTTTAGCAATGTGACTAATCTTGGAAGGATTCATAAATCCTTCAAATTGCTCAGTGAAAACCTTCATTTCATATCTCAAAAGACGCTGTATCAAACTGTCCCTTATCTGGCTGTGTCATGTAAATGACACAATATTGCAACTGAGTTTGGGAACAGTGCATACACACTGTATTAATATATCATACCCTTCAATACTCATTTTGCAATAATATTTTTTTTCTCTATTTTAGCTCATCACAAAGCTTAGACTTTTGCTTTCAATGCAGTATAGGCACTGGTGTGAAGTCTGCATGACAAAACTGCATGAACCAAAAATGTAATTCTCTCCAGCAGGAACCCAAGCAGAATTTTCATGTTCTACCTTTCTTCTTTTTTTACTGTATTCTTTATGTCCCCTCAGTAAACATTCATAATTTCTTTTTTATTTGCAGGTGGTCTTCTTACAAAACAACGCTACAGTAAATAAATGTCACTCTCCCTTTTTCCGACTTCCTATTTCCTGTCTCTTTTATTCTGTTTCACTGAGGATAACTTTTGATCAGATTGAACAATCAATTTAATTTGGTCTATAGAAAGGCTACAGAAAACAATCAACCAGCAACTTTTAATCTCTAATGTGTCATAGCTTCTTAAAGGCAGAGCAAATGGATTTCAGTGGCCTTCGCTCTCAGGCATCCTGGACCTGGTAGCTGTGTCTGTCTGTAGTAACACGGCTGTTACACTGCAAAGACCTCCATATGGTCTGTCTTCCTTTGAAATTGGAGACAAGTGCCAGGCAGAAGCTATTGTGTAACTTTTGCTTTAGTCCAGATTAGCTCTGTGAGTTCTCAGGCCAAAAGCTGTTGGCACTCCATCGGATCTAAATGTCAGCTGTTCCCTGGCTGCTTTTATGTCTGACACTGAACTTCCACCAGATACGTGTGCATTGCGTGTCCGCTCCGGTCCGTTTTGGCTCTGTGCACCCTTATCCGTCAACATCCACCGGCTGCGTTCTCCGTCTGCAGCACGGAGAGCACAGCCGTCAGCTGGAGTGCCGAGATAAAGGAATTCCCGCGATAATTTAACAAACTAACTCGCGGCAGTGCGAGATAATATGATGAATGTGGTATAAAACTCTATATAAACCTAATAAACACATAAACAAACACACACACGGTCATTTTTCTGAACTGTTAAAACGGAGTGTTTTATTTTAAAATTAACCAGATGTTTTAATGTTGCATCGGTGTCTGACTTCCCATCCCACTTGTTTTTTTCTGTGCTAAATTGATGCGACGGGCTCCGGCAAAAATAGAAACCTATGTATCTGCTGCGGAGGGCACCGGACTGCTGGAGCTCAGACGGAGCTGAGACGCAGCGCAGCGCACCCAGTGAAAGCACACACATTGAATAAAATGAAAACCTATCACCTCCCCTGCCGCCCAGAGCGGAGACAGACCGGCACACATCTGGTGGAAGTTGGCCGTTACTTTCATCATTTTCTAGAAACTATAATAATATTTTGTTTTATTTCGTAAAAAAAAATCCTGCATCCTGAAAATGATACCTGAAATAATATAACACCACAATGTTGTGGCTTTACTCCCATATTTTCTCTCTCTCACAAAATCCAACAGGAGGAGACCAATCCAGATCTCTTTTTCCTCCTTCCCTGGAAATCCCGTTAGCTCCCTTGCCAGCCCCCCAGGAAAATGTGGAGAATCCAGAAACTCAAGCAAACCCTCAGCCTCAGCCTCAGTCAGAGCATCAACAATCAAAGCCCCAAACCCCTAACACTCAAATTAAGAACTGGGCCAAGGCCCAGCCTCAACCACATCCTTCACAAACATCACAGTCCATACCCCAAACCCAACCAAAAATGCAACCTGAGCAAACATCCCAGTCCAGACCTCAGACAAAACCACATTCCCAACCAACATTCCAGAACACATCTGACACCCAACCCCTACCACAAATCAAACCAGCTTCCAATCCCATAGCAGAGATGCATCCCCAACCAGCATCCCAACCCACTCTACAGACCCAACCACAACCAAAATTCCATACAACCACCAAGCCCATACCCCAGACCAAGCGGAATACTCAACGAACATCCCAACCCATACTACAAACTCAACCCCAACCAAAACTCCACCCAGGCTCCAGTCCCATACCCCAGACCAGGCCAAACCCCCAACCAACATCCCAACCCATTCTACAGACCCAACCACAACCAAAATTCCATACAACCACCAAGCCCATACCCCAGACCAAGCCAAAACTCCAACCAACATCCCAACCAATTCTACAGACCCAACCCCAACCAAAATTCCATCCAACCACCAAGCCCATACCCCAGACCAAGCGAAATACTCAACGAACATCCCAACCCATACTACAAACTCAACCCCAACCAAAACTCCATCCAATCTCCAAGCCCATACCCCAGACCAAGCCAAAACTCCAACCAACATCCCAACCGATAATGCAAACTCAATCACAACCAGAATCCATGCCCATAAATCCGACCAAGCCAAAACCCCAACCAACATGCAAGTCCATACCCCAGTCCAAACCCCAAGCAACATCTCAACCCATTTTACGGCACATTCCTCAATCACAACCCCCTCCAGCATCCAAATCTGTTCTCCAGATCAAACCAAAACCCCGCACAACATCCCAAACCATACCACATACCGTATCACAACCACATCCTCAACAAACCTCCCACCACAAACCGCAGATCAAACCAAAGACCCATCAAACACCTCATCCCAATCTCCATACCCTTCCTACTTCAGCGGCTCACACAAAACCCTATTTCCAATCAAAGCCTAAAACTACAATGCAGCTCCCAACTGAACACAAACTTCAACCAAAACTCCAGCTAAAACATCAGGTCCATTTTCAAACACAACCACCTGCTAAGACCATGACACCGGACAGGGTTCAAACAATAACCCATCCCACAATTATGACACACCTACTGACAAATCAACCAACACTTCAGCACATACCTCAGACCCAACCAGCACTACTGAAGATTAATGTCAAACCCCAACATCAAGCAAAATCTTACTCCACAGTTCAGCCTCAAATCGACACACAACCAACGATTAACCCACAGCCTCAACTAAAAAGAAGACCTGAGACTGAAGGAACAACTAAGCAGCAGTCAAAGAAGCATCCCAAGCCCAAAACAAACCTTCAAACCTGGGACAAAACTAAGCCTAAAACACAGCCTAAACCAAAGAGCCAATCCAAGCCTCAACCATCACCTCAACTAAATAAACGAAAGCTTCAACCACATCCTCAACCAAAGAACCAAACGAGGGTCAAACAAACTCACACAAATAATAAACAGTTGCCAGAATCACAATATCCTATTAAGACCCAAACCCAACCTGCACCTCATTCTAAACATCTTCTTAAGCCTCTACCTCTACCAAAGGCTCAGTCTAAGTCCCAACTTGATCCTCTACCCAAGCCACAACCTACATCTAGGTCCCAACAACAATCTCAACCAGGGCTTCAGTTTGAGACTCAGTCCAGGAGCTACTCTGATACCTCCAACGTCACACCAAGGCAGGCTGTTGCTACGGGTAAAGACCCTACCTTTTGCCATCCGCAATCCACACATCAAGTATTGAGACCTCATCTAAAATTTCACTTTAAAAGGGGCATTTGAGTTACATTTCCATTATATTATATTGGGTATTCTAAGAAAAGTTAGGGCTGTCGCGGTAACCACAAAAATGAATTACCATGATATTAACAAGTCAACTTCGGAGCATGTGAGGCCACTGTGACAACTGCACGTGAAGTTACCTCACCCCTCATCATGTTCAGACGGAAACAATGGTAACTGCACTGGTACCTAAACCGAAAATAATTTTGCACTTCGGGAACAGTTCGGCCTTTAGCCAAATTAAAAAGGAAAACCAGCTAATTTAGACGAAGCAATTTGTAAAATCTGCGACAAAAAGGTCCCTATGAACAACAAATGCATAACATTTTTGGTCTCACATAACAAATAGTATCTTGGCCACAAGTTATTTTTTAAAATTGTGACTTTTGTTTATTTGATCTTTGATCCTGGTGTTGAAACAAAGCACCGTCACGGCAGCAAGAATCATATCTTCCTTGGCCTTTTGCCTACTAAAAAAGCACACAGCGTTTTTAAAACCTGTATAGTACGATTTGGCTACAGAATACATAATGACAGGATTAGTTTACTTAATGTCAAAACTGGCATCTACCATCTCTCTCACTGATGGTGAAGCGATTCTACTCTTGGTAGGTGGTTTTGTTGTGTCTTGATAACAAGACTCTCTACATAAGGCTCACCTGCTGTGATAACAGAGTTGCAAGGGCAACATTTAAATGGGAGTTTTGTTGTGTTGCACGGAAGAAAAGACTTAAAAGCTGTTTGCAAATCTGCGCCAAAGGTTTGCAAATCAGTGCTCACAAATTTCTAATCTGTGGGGAAGGTTTCCTAAACTGTGTGCAGAAATTTGCACTGGAAATTCGCTCACACAGATTATAAATGTGTGCGCTCAGTGGGGTCTGGATGATGTTAATGTCCGTGCAGCCTATCAGCTCTTGCTCTCTCTCTCTCACACACTCTTATTGCATAATGTATTCTAGTTCATATATTCTAAAGACAAATTGTACTGTACAGGTTTAAAGTTAAGTTGTCAGCCACTGATTCACAAAAAAATGTGCTAAATAGATAAAAAAAGGGATTGTGTGATAGGTCTATTGAATCACTGCATGGGGAATTTCTTTACCGCGACAGCCCTAGTCATAGTTCAGCTTTGTCTGATGTAAGATATTTTTAAGGATATCCTGATTAAAGCAAATACCCTTACCCACCCTGCAAGGATTTTACCTAACAATTATCTCCTTGCATTTCAACAAATAAGGGTAGGATATGCCCCCTTTAAAAGTTAATAATATAATCATGTAAATGCAGTACTATCTGATTATAATAGTATATAGATAAATAGTGAGTTTTCTTTCATACAGCTCCTAGTCCACCAGAAGAGGGCAAGCCTCTACCAAGACCTGCCCTGGCTACAGAGAAGGCTGGTAGTAATAATCAGGGTAAACACCACAAGTTTGTCCCATCACCATCTCTGCTTCCGTAAAGTCACGTGAAACCCAGTTGTCCCTCCAACCATTGGATGATATCACTGCTTCCTCATCACCATCTCTATCCTACCACGCCACACAACCCACCCTTCATTGTTTCTTTCTCTATGTGTGCCTCCATTTTCAGACCAGCACACTCACCTCACCTTTGCCCACTTACAACCAGTCCCGTCTTGCTAGCTCTCCAGTCTCTCATCTGTGCCTCTCTATTTCATTCATTGTCCAATCTTCATTGTTTTCACTAATGTGCTTTTCATTGATTTCATCTAGGTAAAGATGTCATGCTCAAACGTTGATTTCCCCTAAACTCATTAATTGCCTTTCTGCTGATCTAGGTACTGGTTTCGTCAAATCATCCATTGCAGAAGTTCCTCAATCTCCTATTAGCTCATCAGTTGCTCCAGCAGGAAGAAACAGCACTCAGTCTCGCAGCGGGGTTCCTCCAAATTCCAATCATAAAAGTGTCCGACCATTTTCTCCATCCAAGAAATTCCCCTCCTCTCAAAGCTCCAGCTCACCTGGTGGTAATCGATTACTCACTTTCCTTTCTCTCATCCTCTCTTGTCTTCAGTAATACTCTCCTTTTAGCATCTTCTTACGTTCCTGCTGCAGCCGTGCATCTACTGAAGACAAACAAACTGTCTTTTGGTTTAGAGCAAGATCTTTGCTTAAATGTATGAAGTAGATGTTTGGACAATTGTTCCTTTCTACCAGACTTTTTCAATCTTCTGCTTTAACTCATCTTTTGTTTTGGAGGGACGGCCCCCAACTGATAAACCTAGGCTGCCAAACACTGCCTCTTAACATCCATATGTTCTCACCGCTCTGCCACATGTGCGCGGTGTGTATTTCACAGCTTTACCACGAGCAGCAGTGGTGTCTCTGGGGTCGGGATCGTTAACATGATTTACGGGCCCGCTCACTGGCCGGGTGGGAAGTCTGGCCATAGCACTGGCCAGGACACACCACATTTTACACCAGCCAAGCCAAGCACTGTGCAGACAGAACAGACACCACAGCCAAGCACACTCTCTCTCTCCCTATCTCCATCAAATGCAGCACATATTCCGGAAAGAGTTTCAGAAGTGCAGAGAATTAAAATGTCAAACAATATTATATATTGTTTGAAGTCATAGCAATTCCATGTGTATATCCTGAACATCTGTCGAACTAGGTTACAAACACAAACACATTTCCAGCTTTATTACCACTGATGTTAGACTTGAAGAAAACAACGAGTAAGAAAGACAAAGCCTTTTTTGACCTCTTGTTTGGCTGTTTGTAACAAGACACAAAACATTTTATAATAGACCTTTTTCTTCTTTCAGCAGTCGGTGGAGCGCATCACAGGGGCAATGCTCTTGCTAAACCTGCGGTGTGGCCAAGAGAGAAACCTGGTAAAGACAAACCAAGATAATTGCCTTTCAGTGTTCCTCACTCACTAACCAAAGAGGCACTGGTGTGTCCATCCCACATGGCCAAACTGATCTTTGCTTCTGCCACAATCTTCTCATAATTTTGAACTTGTTTGTCAGTGTGACTTTTTGCATTTGCATTATCAAAAACAAAAATCCCTGCAACTTAACCTCGACTGAGACTGAAGCGTTAGAGAATTCTTAATTTGGCAATACCTAGACCTTCATATTGTTTAGTCACCTGCACATATGGAACTGTAATCATGAGGTGGTTTGTATTAGTTTAAGAAGAGCTTTAGCATTCTTGTACTCAAAAAGGTGGATGTGTCTTTTCCCTTCTTTTGGTGGGTTACATTTTTTCCGTTCCGCCAAGCAGGCTCAGTTAATTTGAGTAATTAAATCCATCTTAAGCAGTAATACAAACCACGTCTAGACCACATGTATTAATGGTGACGCTGTGCTCACTCCTTGTTGTTTGGAGTTGTGAAGAGAGGTTGTGCTTCAGTCCCATGTCACAGCTGGTGTGTGTTATTTCTGGAAACTTGGAAAGTTTCAGAGGTCTTCAAGGAGTCACAAGGCTCTCTTGAAGCAACTCTAAGGCAAAAATAGTCATTTTGCCTACCACCATGAACATACATCTAAGAAGAAAGCTGGTAATGACAGTTATCTTAAAAGTCATAGGTGTAGTTCACCTTCCTGACCCCATGCACTGAGTGATAACCCCACAAAACATTATTACTTCTTAAACAAAATAGTACTCAGCCTTTGTGTTTGTTTTGAGAGCGTGTTTGCAACATTTTTTAGAGCTCAGTTTACAATAACTCTCTACAATAACTGTAATGGATTACAAGCTCTTTATATAGTGGACTTTAGGTATAACAAGGACACTGTCCATCTACAAATGTGTTGCAAAAACAGAAACCTCTGTCAGTTGAATAGTTGGATTGAGGTGAACACACATTCCAGCCTTCACTCGAAACTGAAGAAATCATCAGGGCTTTATACAAAAAATGTTCTCACATAAACAATAAAACAGTCTTTATCAAGAAATATGAGAGTTGGAGAGTCATCCTCACCATCTTCCGAGTCCGAATGCAGTCAGTGCTCGAGTTTGAGTCTAAGTCAACAATGACCACAGTGATTTGAGACACCAGTATGTAGTTTAGGTTGGAATATTTTATATTATTATTATTATTATTATTATTATTATTATTATTATTATTTATATTAGACTATAAATAAATATCCTGTTGTTGCATGTGTTTTTATTTATTTCTTTTACTATTTTTCCAAAAAATAGTTTTCAACCGCAACCAGGGCTCACACCACTGCTTCTGTTTAACATTACAGATGTGAGTCTGGGGCTTTCGCACTTGAGAAATTTGATCTGCTGTTTGAAGGATGTATTATGGACCACAAACCAAAAACACCTGCTGTAGAAACTGAAGCACTCCAAACAGATCATATCATATAGATCGTAGACACATAGTTGACATGGATGTTGTTGACCTCAGATCTTATCACATTACAACCCAATGCCCGCCCAGTTAAGCATGAGTTAACTCTTATGAGCTGTCAGGTGGGCACAGTGTGCAGTCCTGACCCCAGAAGCAATGGATTCACTTTGTCAATATGGAAAATACTTGTGAAATATGCTCATTTACTAATTTAACAAATCAGTCCAAAAATGAACCAATTAGGACGGCATTATGATACACCCACGACCCGCGGCTGCATCCGACAGTGTAAACCTATAGTATAAAACTTTAGACAGTCGAAAGTTGTGTTGTTTTTTGTGCTCATTGATCCTTTTTGTCATTTGAGTTTAACCACATCTTTAAACTATTTGCCTTCTAATCTTGGAATAACATTTAATTCTATGATAGAATATAGTTTTTCTGCATTTTTTAAGTCTGCATTAAAGTGAACTTATAACCAATACAGCAGGCACACACACTGACCACCATCTGTGCAGGTCAGACCAGGGACAAACAAACAGCGTCTTTGAACATAGCACTTAAATATATACTGAACTATCCTGATCATAATAATCCACCAAACTGAGTCCCCACGATTTAAATCCAGCAAAAGATTGAATCCAAACAAGTTAAATCCATAACGATCCACGGAACTGTTAAAAACCGCCGCTATTCCGCTGACCTTTTCATGACACTAGATGGCGGCGTATAACTGCCAGTGAGAACCTTTTTTAAAAGGAGGTGCATCCTCCTGTTCTGATGACCAGTTGAACGCAACCGTGCCAATTTCTGAAATCTCTTGTAGCCAATGAAATTCTCTAAACATGGATATGTTGCTTCTATCAATACTGATTGATTTAAAGTATGAGTGGTTTTCAGAACTGCATTAAGCATTAATAAGGTGATATTTATACCAAGATAGGCTATGAGTCATTAATTATTTGGATAAAACAGACAAATCTATGTTAAATTAGACATTAAACACCCCATATACAGTAGCTGGAATGGAATTATCCTGGCCCTGACGAACGAGTCATCGAATACTCAGCTACATCGGATCAGGCAGCCCTACTAGTTTCCACAGAATGACCAAATATTAGGTTGAGCTTTTGTGTCATAGCACATCCCTGTTTATTTGTACAGTATATCTTGAGACAGGCGTTTAGTTAAGGAGATACTCCTAGATCGTATTTTTAGAGTTAATCAGTGACTTGTTGGCAGATGTTTCCGCTTGTATGGCCTCAGCTCCTTTCTCTTGGTAGAAGATGCCAGAGATCGCTGATTTATGCCGACCAGCAGGAGGTCAGCTTCAGGGAGGAAACAAATCCAGGAGAAATGTTTCTGCCATGTTTTGGCCCAAACAATTGAAAAATTACAAAATGTTGTCAACAGAAGGACCCCCTTGATGAATCTCTGAGATAAGAAACGACAAATGGCAAAGGGAGTGGATGCTCTGGAGGTGAATCACTACAGTTAAATGGATGATCTCAAAACAATTCAGATGTACAACATTTCCATGTGTCAAGCCTCCCGAAGCTTTTCAGCCTCCTCTAAGATATCATAACAAGGTTTTAGGATACACTTCTTTAACCACACTAAATCGTAGCAGAACCTTCATGTTAACACATCTGAGTTTCACAACTTGCACTGTATCCATTGTGTTTTCATTGCGAAGACTTGTTAGTCTTTGTGATCACTTCACTAAATCTAATCAGTCCCTTGTGTTCATTAAACAAGTCTAGAGTCAAACTGATTTGAGTTTCCTATGATGGCTTGGCTTGATCTTTAATTTCTCTGGGGTTCAGGGATTTTGTACAATGCTTGGTTGTCAAAGTGCATTTGGTCGAAATTAGTTAATCACAGAAGGGGGTCAAAATCCTATTTACAAAATATTGGCCCTTCTCCCTTAATTTCCTGATTCAGATTCAACAAGGATTTTAAAATTCCTGAGTTTTTCTTTGGGGGATCTTGGGTGAGTGGCTAAAAGCACGACTTAATGGTTTCAAGGTTGTTAAACACTGTCATGGTTTTCATTAGTCATAGACGGTGGTGGTTCTCTATGGCAGCACTTCATAAAGAATTAACATGCAATCTGCTTGGCTTTTATGTGCTTTATTGTTGTTTGTATTAAGCCTGTGTTTTTATTTTCATTTTTCAGAACACAGTACAAGTCTGAAGTCCTCTCTCTGCTTAATGTCTCCCAGTCTTTGAACCTATAAACTTGACATTCCTTTTTCCCTATTGCATTATTAAAATAACCAACAACACTTGTTTTCAGTTTTTATTCCCTCCTTAGAACTGACCACCTGCTCTGTTTCAATGTGGTTTTTGATTAAAAAATGACTCTTGTTTCCCAAATTTCTCTGCAGTTCAGCGTCCATCTATTCCTGTCAACAAGACACCCAACCTGGTGGGGAAACCCAGTGACCATGGTGAGGAACAGTGAACAGCAATGGCTGCACTGACCACTGGCACTGCTGCACCTTAATACCTGTATGTTGTAGTTACGCACAAAAGAGCGAGACCAAACTTTCAAGCCGGTGGTTTCTCCAACTTTTGTCTTCATGCCTTTCCTTAGATGCAGAAAACTTTTAACGTCACCAACACCTCGGCTAAGGTTTTGATGTATTGTAGTCAAAGAGTATGAAAAATATATTTAGCAACGTTTCATCGATGTTGACACAGACATATGCCTGAGTTAGACAGTGGGGATACAATGCATTGGTATTGGACGCCAAAGGATGGGATTGTTATTATGACACTAAGCAGCAACGGAGAGAATTAGCATTGCTTGAGGTTTTCTTTTTAGCATCTTACCAAAACGATTAACAAATCTGAGAAAAAAAAGGACCTGCTTGCCATGTAAACACTTGTTTTTCTTTTCTTCTGTGTGAAAAAATGTCTATCTCATTTGCTATGCTTCCTTTGCTTCCTTTCTCAGCACAATCCTTAATGCCTTGTACGCACTTTTTTTGATTTTAGTCCAACATGAAACTTAATTAACTTTAACACCCCACATATTTCCACATCATCAAGAATGTCTCTGCTGTGTAGCGCTGTGCTCCATGCAGTCTGAAGCAATACTACGCCAATAAAAGAAAAGATCTTAGAATTTGAAAATTGCTTTCATAGAATAAGAAGTGTTAACTTCTTAACAAAACAGCGTTCATCTTGACATACAGCTTAACTCATTGGCCTTGTGGCAAAAGCTCTTTCCTGGACTTTCCTGGAGTCTTTGTTCACTTTGTCAACTGTTTCTATCGCTCTCCTTTCTCTCTGTTTGGTTTTAAGTGTACTTTATGTGCAAAAAGTGTTTGAGTGAATGTGTTTGCGCACGTTTCTGAGCATCTGCGTACCCCTGGTCTCAGAAGAAGTATTTTGGCAAGGGTTTTTTTTCCCTTTAAAGACTCAAGAAGCAAATTCTGATCTTTCTCGCAGCACGGAACAGGCCACTGAGTTGCTCAGTGAGGATGGCCAGAGCAGATGGATCGCAACTGTGCATGACTGTGAGTCAGATGATGAGGGTGAAGAGCTGATCTCTCCTCCTCCTGCTCTGTCCTTAGATAAACCCATGGACCTGAAACAAGGAGAAAAGGAGTCCATCTTGAAGCCATTCCCTCTGGTCACAGCCAAACCCAAGCAAGAGCGCAGACAACAGACAACCACCTCCGCCCCTGCAGTAAACAGTACGATAAATACACTTTGAATGTATTTTTGGAGGAAAGCAACGGCTCATTATCATGACAACTTCACACCAGCTGGAAAAATTAAGTTAATCATGGACCAGGAAAAAAATCGGAAAACGCTTTTTTGACTTCCGTCAATGCATGCACATGGTAATAATTAGTAGATATTGGTGATGCAGCTTGCAGGTGTGTCTTGTAGTAACAGGAAAAAAGATATTCATCATACTAGGAGATGGACAAAGACGCTGAATTCATGCCAGAGCAGGTGCTGGGTGCTAGCATGCAGCTGACCTGGGCCAGAGCTGTAAAACTGAGGACAGAAAGAGCTGCCAGGGACTGCTGGCAAATAATCCTAAACCCAACTACTTGCTTCTGTTTCCTTTTCAGGCAGCCGCTTTGACATAAATGAAAATTCCTCCATATTCAGGCCCATGCCTGCATCTGAAGTAGACATCATGGGCAAGAAACGCTTTGTAGGTAAGACTCCTTAGGGCAGTTCTCCACAGTGGGTTCCCTAGTAACACTACTCTGAAATACTGCATGTACCTAAGCAACCAATTCAAAATGATAGCATCCATTAATGCATAGCTGCTGTATTTAATGTGCCTTCCCCCAGCTCCACATGTGATCTACAAGACTGATAAAAAGCCAGATGAGCCGTGCTCCATCACCTCCTCCCTCGCTTACTTCCCTGATGAGGAGGGGGCTGATCAGAATGTGACCGGTCCTCCCCGCGTACCTCCTTCCAACCTTACCGTGGTTACTGTAGAGGGCTGCCCGTCTTTTGTCATTCTTGACTGGCAGAAATCTGACAACGAAACCCGAGGTATGAGGATCATAAGGCTGGTTCAATAATTTCACCTCATGAGCACACTTGCAAGCATCCACTGCATAAAACAATTTCAATTGTTTTTTAGGCACTTGAATGAGCCTTAAAGGTGCATTCTTCCTCATGTCAGCAGGGGGCAACTCCACTAGTTGTAAAAAGAAGTCTATGAGAAATGGTTCCTTTTTTCCTCACTTGATTTATGACCTCAGAAAGCAATTTCCCTTTGAGCTTCGTCTCAACTGTTGGTCTCAAGTCTTCTTTATCACAGCATGACCCTCATTTTGTGAATTATGGCACCATTTAAGGGTCAACCAAATGAAAACAGGGTATGCATGAGAACATGGCAACCATCTGTTTAAAAATACAAGGGGCCACTTCTTAGTCTGGATGAGGTGTGAAAAAAATACTCCCTCAACTTTCTCTTCCAAATAAGTCATTTTTGAGGGCCAAGATGAGGACAGCCAAAAAGCCATTTTTTAGGACAATGTCACTGTGGCTACATAAACTTCTCTGTGAGGATGCACCAATGTTTCAGTTGAACTCCGGTATTGGTTTGTAATTACCCTGTTCACTGACTTCATCCCAATGGCAAAAAAACAACAATTTTTTTTGGGTTTCACAACTGATTCCAATTTACCATGGCAACGGCAGGCATTCCTGTTTAATGTGTCTCCCCCCTTCGATCATGAAAGATATGAAGAAGAGGAACTAAAGCAGGAAATATTTGTGTTTGCTGGTGATGCTAAGTGTGTGGAAGTGGGAGAGAGTGTTTTTGGCCGTTCAATGATACAACTTACTGTGTGGGAGTTTAACTTCAAATCTCATTGCTTTTAAAAGTAGACACTGACGTATTAGAAGTAGAAGTATTCAAAATACATCAGTATCAGAATGGACTATTAGCTCAATAGTTATTGTAAAGATCAGTATCAGTAAAAGGCCCGACTTTCACAACCGGGGCATCTCTACTTCCTTATTACGAGCTATACTTAGTTACAAGTCTACTTTTGACAAGGGAAAAAACAACTCTATGGGCAAGAACTCCCGAGCCACTCAAAGTGTGTCATCACTAATGACAGCCAGTTGTACAAGGCAATTTTACTTCCTTCTATTTTCTCCATCTCATCAAGAAGTTGAAGTATATTCTGTGCTACTTCATGCACACTAATATCCCTGCTGCTTTGTCAGAGTATGACGTCATATCCACCACGAAAGGACCAAATGGAGAGGAGGTGTCTATACTAACAACCAACCAGACACACACAGCTGTGGAGAATCTGAAGCCAGAGAGCAGGTATGTGTCTGGAAGAACATGTGACATCTGCCTTAACATTTTTCTCCTTCAGTCCTCCAGCTTGTCGGGTACTCTTACCAGGTCAAATAACTAAGATTGTCAAGATACATTTTTGTAAAGGTCCCTGTAGAGTGTCTGGCCTGTACTAGCACTGTTATTTCTAGGATTTGGTCCAATGTGGAAATTTCTGGGAGAAATGAAGCAAATGCAGGGATGCCAAAAACTGCAGTTCCTAAAATGACCACTAAAGGCTTACACCAAAAGCAAGGCACTCTTCATAGACATCAATTTTAAAATGGCAAATATTACAGCAGAAAAAAACATATCAACTGCATGAGAAAAGTAAGACTATTTTGTATTTTTTTTTAATTCAACCTTGTGAATTTCATTATGCATTATTGAGAGAGTGGCTGTTTTTGGTGGCCTGAAGGGTTCACTTTGCTGTCCGATAGGCACCACCTCAGCTTTAAAGTCACTGAATCAGGCCTCTTGGTTATCCATCTACTTGTATAAATGATAAATATGGTCACTTTTTCATCACCAAGACGGCAAAGGCCAAAATGCCAAATGCAGAGCTTTGAAATGATAATCTAAAAACCAGTATGTGATATCATCTTGGTTATATCCAAATTATTTGTCTCTGTTTTCGTTGTAAACACACACATCCACATGAAATAATAAACAAAAGCCTCGCCAGTTTTGTCAAACTATTGAAAACATCAATCGGCATGAAACTTTGTCAACGAAGACACTAATGCCCCAACAGATGCAGCGGAGAATAACCTTACTGGTTGACAAAAAAGGTCAACAACCATTGTTCCCACAGTTACCTCTGCAAATGTTTTCTGAGAAAGGAAATGCATTCATGATGTGTTTTAGACCTTGGGGACAGCCACAATTTGTTTTGATGAGTAAAACAGAATATACACATTACTTTATTTATCAAAAAAAAAACCTCCACAGGGCACCTCTAACAAATACAGAATGTTTGAACTACTGGATCATTAGATTAGTTCGCTTCACTGTAAATCTCCTAAAGGACGAGAGAATAAAATGGCACTGCAACACGCTCCTTCAGCCTATGCACCGACTCACTTTGGGTTTCCATATACCAAGCGGATAAAGCGACACAAAAAGCTGACGATATCTGGGTGGAGTGGGTTTTTAATTAGATCCCAGCATCTGGAGTCTCAAAACTCACCAGAACCCTCCTCTGGGCTTGGTTTTCTGGCCCAACTATTGGCCAAACTCTTGCCAGGACATCTGAACGCAGCACGTGGAATAACCATCAGCTCATTGAATGTGTGTGATCTTGTGTGTGTGACCGATTCTTAGCTGTCAAAGGCATGAAAATATAATGTGTCCAAGCTCTTGAGTTTTGAGGATTTTTTTTTTATCAAAGTTTGGGTTTTTGCCTTTTAATTCTCTTTCCTCCCTTTTTTTTTTTGTTATATTTCAGTTATGAATTCACAGTAACACCAAGAAATGAGCTGGGAACAGGACCCTCCAGTGATCCTGTGTCTTTCAACACAGAATCAGGCAAGTTTTAAAAACCCTCTAATCCTGTAAAGACATACCAAAGAGATTCCTCATAATTCTAATGTTTGCTGACAGAAAATACCAATAAGTTAAATGTTGATGCGATTGTGAACCTTGCTCATGATTAGGCAGAGATTAGAATTGGGATGAGTCTCAGAAGTTGGACTGTTAGGCAGTTGTTGGTCTAATGATTTCAACATGGCACTGAGGTCTGACTGATTAAGACTCCAAGGACTTTTGAGCTCAACATGTCCTTGGAGGATTATTTCAAACATATCATCCACTCTGTGATCTGACTGATCAGAGAAATCTGAGCTAATGTTGCATCAGTTATAAAGCAGATAAAGTACAGCCCTGAGTTGATCAGATATTGTGTCTTAAACTCACAATGACAACGCTAAGACGAGATGGCTCTGCTGAATTGGCCTTGTGCCCCAGTGCAATCAAAGCTCAGTATTTTGGGGCTAAACATTATAAATAATGTGCCAAATGGGCTCTGATACAAGCCTGAGTTTGTCTTGCACAATAATTCAAGAAGTTGTGTGTCATTGTGTTAATCTGAAGTTATTTTGACGATGTTGTTCATTGCACCTTTCTCTTATGTTTGTAGCTGATCCGCGAGTGAGCGAAAATGTGTCAGGTGAATACGTTTTTTTTGGTCTTCATATCGCTATGTTCTGGCTTAATACCATTTTTTTTTTTTTTTAAGTTTTTAACTTTAGGATTCTTGTTTATAGAGATGTCCCTTTGTTTATGAATCCTTCACTTTCAATGATTTCCTCACAGGCAAAGATGCCATCTGGACTCAGTTCCCATTTAAAACGGATTCCTACTCCGAATGCAATGGAAAGCAGTACGTGAAGAGAACTTGGTACCGAAAATTTGTTGGCATCCAGCTCTGCAACTCTCTGAGATACAAGATCTACCTGAGTGACTCTCTTAATGGTAATTAAAGAATCAAGCAACAGTGAACTAGTAGAGGCAGTAGAGACAGCAATCTACAATATAGTACAATATGCAAAACTCAAACAAAACCAGTTTGAGGTTTTTTTATACCAGTGTATCTCCAATATTGTTCATGCATTAGTAGGATCTGGATCCTGTCAGAATGTATGGGATTTTTCTTAGTCCATGCTCCAACCTCCAATCAGGTTCATTAAAATTGGGCCAGTAGTTTTTCTGTAATCTGTAATCTGTAAACCAGACAAGGCACTAAAGCAGCATCGAAAACATAAACTCCTTGGTAGAGTTGACTAAGCAATTGCTTATGGCCAGAAATAAATTACAATCAAAAATGTCAGCTATGTGTAAACTCTAATTTGGACAACTGTGCATTCTTTTCAGTAAATAAGTGCTTCTGTTTTCACCTTAAAACTGGGTACAGTTGAAACTCTTTTCCAGTATATTTATGGTGGAAAATTAACTATATATAAGCAAACAACTACAAATAGAAAATGTAAACCCTGGTCATATTATTGTCAGTAAATAATCAGGACTGTTTCTGACCACTTTAAATTCATATCAATCTTAACTTTTTGTTTTTATAGCTAAAAAACATGCTCCTTCTGTCCAATAGGGAAATTCTACAACATAGGAGATCAGACGGGACATGGTGAGGACCATTGTCAATTTGTGGACTCTTTTCTGGATGGACGGACTGGCACTCAGATGTTTGCTGACCAGCTGCCAAGCAGGCCAGGTAATTTGATAGCGCATGAATAATCATTATTGTGATTAATCTATCATTATGTAGACTCTAATCCCATCCTCTTTGTATTTGTAACAGGGTTTTATAGGGCCTTAAGACAGGAGCCTGTGCATTTTGGAGAGATTGGAGGGAAGTCACATGTTACTTATGTTGGCTGGTATGAGTGTGGTACACCCATACCCGGGAAATGGTAAGACCCACATGGCTATGAAGGAGGGATAACTTGCTGCAGAAGTAGTAAAAGAAGAAGAAGAAGAAGATGCCTAACCAGGCTTGAAGGGATGTTGGGCTTTCTTTCATATTACCATGGACACTGTAGATGGGTCTGTTTGTTTGAACTCAGCCCTCTCTTCCGGGTATGATCCTGTCCAAGACTATTAGGTGTCACAAAACTCAATGGAGTGTATTTGTAACATCGGTCTCCGTTTCTGTATTTATCAAAAAGGTCACAATGGACGCAAGAATGCAGGTGAACTAAAATGCTGAATATACAGTAACCACAGAGAACTTGTTGGGAAGCTGGCTCCCAAAGTGTCATAACTTGTTTGATGTTATTTATCAAGGAGATTGTTATTGAATTTTCTCTGTGTCCTCTGGCTTTTGATATAAGAAAGTTAAAACAGTACTTGCATGTCGGCATACACATTGTACACACACATTTGTATACAAAGAGTTGACAATGATACTTCACTGTACATTTTGATTATGTAAAATACAAGTAAACACAGACATGCAGAATCAACCTTCTGCTGGCCCAAAGGGATTATTAACAGTTGCAGTTTGCACATTATTAAACTTGTGTTAATATATGTATATGATGTCAAATGCAATTTGTATACCAGGGATAAAAAAAAGTTTGGATCATTTCAGGTAAAAGAAGAAAAGCTTTGGCCAAATGAATGATCTATTGCAAGCCGAAGCTTGATACTCCTATGGTGTCGTTTTGAAAAAAAAAAAAAGATTTGTGTTTTTTTGTGTTTGTGAAGGCTCAGCCTGTAAAAAAATATATATTTTTAAAAATAATAACAAAACTGAGGTTCCATATGAAATGAAATAACAAATGACGTTATTTATGTTTTTGTGTTCAAAGTAACTTCATGTACATAAAGCTTTCAATTATTGGAAAGAAATGTTCACTCTGTTAAGCACAATGTTTAATTTCAGCAATAAATCTTGTTTTCATATTTACTGACTTTCTTTTCAATTTCCATTTGACTTCAGAGGTTTATTTATGTTTAAGAAAAAGTTTGACACTTTTAGAGATCTCACTTGCTTGTTTGCTTTCTTGCCAATAAGAGAACTGGTAGGAATTTCCCCCAAAAATGTGAACTACCAAGCAGTTGCCACACGTCAGTTGACATAAAGCAATTTGCTCATGACAGAATAACAAAGTTCCATCATGCTGGACATACCGGTGCTTAAAATATATGTTACTTATAGGCAGTTTTTTCTTACCACTGTAACTTTTGCTGCTTTGCTAAAGTGCTCATGATGGATAGGCCGGGTCTTTGTAACATAACAATGAGTAAGGTCTTTTACCTGCTTTTTGTCACATAACAATCAGTAAGGTATTTTACCTGCTTTTTGAAACATAACAATGAGTAAGGTCTTTTACCTGCTTTTTGTAACATAACAATGAGTAAGGTCTTTTACCTGCTTTTTGTCACATAACAATAAGTAAGGTATTTTACCTGCTTTTTGTCACATAACAATAAGTAAGGTATTTTACCTGCTTTTTGAAACATAACAATGAGTAAGGTCTTTTACCTGCTTTTTGTAACATAACAATGATTAAGGTCTTTTACCTGCTTTTTGTAATATAACAATGAGTAAGGTCTTTTACCTGCTCTTTTGTAATGTTAACAGACAAAGAGTAAGGTATTTTACCTGCTTTTTGTAAAGTGTCTTGAGATAACACTTGTTATGGGTCGACGCTATACAAAATAAAAATTGATTGATTGATTATAATGTACCATGCATGAATGAATAATCAACCCTCAGCAATACTAGTGAACATAAAAAATGCGTAAAGTAACACAACCAAATATTAAATCAAAGTCACTACAAAGCATCATAATACTTCAGCTGTGAACAAAATTGCATTTGAGTGTTCAACAGCACTTTATGATAAAGCAGATTCATTTAATGCTGCCATGGGAAAAAAAAAAGTAATATGCAACTCCTGCTATTAAGCTAGCGTTAGCCCAAGAAACACAGCTCATGATAAAGAAAAAGCTTACCTTCAGCAAATGTGTTTAACTTACAGTATTAATGCAGCTCGTTTCATACAGCCATCTTCTTCATTCTCATAATTGTCAAAAATTATCCTCCATTTGTAGAAAAACATTATCAATCAATCAATCAATACATTTTTATTTGTATAGCATCAACTCATAACAAGTGTTATCTCGAGACACTTTACAAAAGGCAGGTGAAAGTCCTTACTTATTGCTATATTACAAAGACCCGGCCTATTAGCCTCCTCCTTACTGGAATTAGCCGATCGTCATCTTCACTCCATTCTCCCTCGTTTTCGTTGTTGTTGTTTTTTTGCGGGGTTTTTCCAAGTAGACATAACAACAAAAGTACGCTCCAAAATCAGCGGCGTAGCTGTAAAACTTTACTGGACAAACTTATTGTATTTAACTTGATTATTTTTTCACACCCTCAGTGACTCAACTCCTGTCCTTTCAACCTTTTGTTTAAGTTTACCTACGCGCCTTCAAGCTAGCTACAAACCGACCAATGAAATCAAACTAGTAGAAACGTTCCACGTTTACGTCATTCAAACGTCACTGAAAATATTAGATTTCTATACATAAAACTCACATAGGTGTCTCTCTTTGTATTTTTTTCCTTTATCTTTTTTTAAATCAGAAAATTATTGTGAGGGGCGCCAGGGGAAGCAACAACTAAACTTTGAATGGAGTCGGTCAAGCTTTTCTAATTACCAGGCTGTAAGCTGTTTGCTTGTGTTTCTCTCATTTATCTGTATCGATATGAGAGCAGTATCAGTTTATTAAAATAAACTTTAAGGCTTAACACCTACCTCAAATACAAAATTAATTTGAATGCATCTTGTGTTTTAATCTTGACCTAAAGGGGTTGAATCATAAAAAAAGTGTTATAAAGGATTCAACTTCCAACAATATTAATCGGATTGCTTTACATTGTGCAAACTGTCGCACTATTTTCATTGGACAAACCCATTTAAAAAGAACGATTTCAACTTTGCACACGCTAGATGAAGAGCAACCAAACACAGCTCACTAATTGTCTTCAATAAATCCTGTGTGCTCAGTTCTTCTCACTCAGACAGACAGATTGACACGAACGTCCAACCACATACTCCCATGCCACAAGTCCCTGCCAACCACAACCCACAGGCAGAAAAGGCTAAATAGAAATACCAGCATTACCACAGTTTTCCAGATCAGGGTGGAGGAGAAGAGAGAAGGCCAAACTTAACAGAGACATGAACTCAGAAACCACAAAGAGAGTGAGTGTTGAGGGAAAGACATAAAGGAAACCAAGAGCCAAAGGCAACTCGATATCAAAACAAAAAGCAGTCCAACTGGGTCTCAATCATTTATTAGGTTCAAGAAAAAAAATGTTACAGTTTATACATGACAACTAATATCAACTGAAGGTGGAATTTAATTTATTAGTAAAAACCAGTGATAAGATAAAGAGAAAAAGAGAGGAATAGCAAGCTTTACTGGAGGTGATATAACACGCTGAAGAAAAGAAGCCTTCTTCATGACAGTGGGATCTACGCCTCCCATCAGCCATCACTTCGCTAGTGTTCCCAACATGGGGCAGTTCAGTTTCATTGACACATCATTAATACCGACATGGTGGTGAAATTGCTCAGATAAAGAAACTAAACAGACAAAACAAATAACAAAAGGGGGGTAACTTTTCATTTAGATAGTGTTGTATGGATGCATATATACACAGTAAACAACAGGTGGAGATGTCTGTCGTTAACATGTATGAAACATTTTGAATCTAGATGCTCGTTTCCCTCCTAAATGAAATGTTACCATGAAAAAGAAAGATAAACAGTTTGTGCAACAGCCTGTTTCGGTCTCCCAGGTGTGTGCATACAGACTGGTTACATTTTTTCACAATGACAGATACAAGAGGGCAGAGCTGACAGCGACGGAAGAAAAATAACAGCAGGAACATACACCGGGGTCAAAACAGAGCGGTATGTTGGAGAGACGGCATACAAACACTAACCATCAGACTGGGGGGAGTTTCTTGTTTCATATTTGGATTGATATTTGTATGATGGGGGGGGGGGGATGCAGAACAGTAGTTTTCTGCACCCACACCAAACAGTGGGAGCCACAATGTGAGGAAAGGGGTTAAGGGTGTACGTGTGAGGATCAGTAACATCCGCTCTCCTCTTTTACCGGTATCCAGGGCCTGGCTGAGTGTAGCCCTGGACGTAAGGGGGGCGGTTGCGGGCGTACGGGTTAGCAGCTCCTGGTGGAGGGGTGCTGCCCGGAGGCGGGGTGTATCCAGGTCGAGGTTGGTACCCTGAGCCGGGCTGGGAGCTGGGCGGCATGCTATAGTTGGCAGGCTGGGAGGCTTGGGAGGTATAGTTTTGGGGAGGGAAGGCTCCTGGTGGATATTGCTGGGCTGCCTGAGATGGATGGGGCTGCTGCTGCTGCTGCTGCTGGCCACCCTGGAAGCCTGGAGCTGGAGCTTGAGCAGGAGCCGGAGCAGGGGCAGGTGCAGAAGCCTGGGAGGAGGGAGGAGGGTAGTTCTGAAACTGCTGCTGCTGCTGCTGTGGCTGTGGCGGGCCAGGCTGAGGGGCTCCAGGCTGAGTGCTGTATCCTAAAGAGAGAGCGAGGAAGGAAGGGAGTTCGTTTAGCATAAAGAGGGGAAAAAAACCCCCAGCTACCCTTCATTTGTCAATCCCAACAGTTTTTAGTTTTACCAGAGTACTGCATGCCATACTGCTGCTGGGGCGGGACACCTGGTTGCTGAGGCGGGTAACCACCTGGGGCCTGGTACTGCTGGTAGACCTGACCTGAAGACACAGTAACAAAAGACATCAGTACACAAGAAACAAGACATTAAATTAATCTCCCAATTTACATTTAAAGTATGTTGTATCCAAAGAAAATCCAGATGTTATTATTCCAATTGTAAAGTCATTTATCAACACGTAATCCCCTTTTCTTAGATGACGAATATTATTGTTATGATCCTTGACCATAGAGAGAAAACAATCATACAAATATATTAATTTTTTAACCTTTTTTTAATACTATGACACACTTGGTGAACAATCAATGTAAGATTTGTAAAGTAAGATGAAGTTTGATTAATGGACGTTTACTTGAAAAAATAAAACAATGCACTGTGGTGCGCCGTTATGTTGCACGCCCCATGTACAGTACGGAGGCTGTCGTCCTTCAAGTGGGAGGCCCGGGTTCCACTCCGACCTGAGGCCCCTTTTCTGCCTGTCATTCCCATACCTTATCCTTGTTACCGACTCTATCCCATGTCCTATCAACAAAGCGTTAAAGCCCCCAAGACACATGCAAGACACATGCACTTTTACTTTTCACCATATCATTCTGGGATTAAAAACTACTGAACTGCTATCTTTGAGCTAAATTCTTTAGAATAATATAGTAACAGTTCAGAGGGGTATGGGAAAGATGCCTTCATACCCCTTGAATATCTACATAGAATGCAATGAGATTCCTAACTAAGCTCAAGTTCATTTTTCTCCTGTACTCTTTGCCTTTTTCACATCAGATTCAGTACGCATAAAGTAAATACACACTCCGTATTATCCCTATTCTCATGAAAACACCTGTGCGTCTGTTCAGAATAACACAAAACTGCTCCAGTGAAAACAGCTGCAACCACTTTCATACAACTATTCGTTGAAGAGGGTCCAGTACCCACAAATATCTCCGTATGCTACATTACAGTGAGAACTGGCTCCCAGCTAGAGAACAGCATGCAGGTGCCTGAGCCGATATAAACAAACATTAACTTGATTTGAAGAACAAATTGTAGTAAGTAAATAAAAAAAATTGCAATCCTTCAAAAGTGAAGCTGACATGTTTTTTACTTTTGAGACTACTACTATTGGCAGACCGATTATTGACAACTCTGCCTGAGGGGTTAAGAGCTGTCCTCCGCTCCTCCAGACATGTCTCTATTTGTAGACAGCAACGTCCTGTCACACTTTTTAGTGACGATGACTTCACCAATCCACACCGCCGACGTGCACATGTGGAGGACGGTCAGAGTCATTTCTACAACTCAAAAAAGATGGCATAAATAGCTTTTATTTTCATTAAAGCATGAAACATGAGGTTATTAGAGTAGCTCCACAATTCATCATTAATATCTTGCTTGACAGTGATGCCATTACAAATCTTTTTTTTATGTTTCCAATACATGGAAACTTTTATTCCCTGTTATTTTTGACTTTTTCTCATCAAGTTTTCCGCTTATCCCCTTAGTGTTCAGCAAACATGCAAAACATTGGCAAACTAGTGTTCTTCCTTAAGAGGCATGAGTTGTTCTCCCAAATCTCCCGCCTGGCATGTAAGTGGGGTGATGAAACTTGAAAAGAAAAAAAGAAACAAAATGAGGCCACCACCAGTATTCACTGATCTCTAAGTGTGTCTTAAAGTGGTGCTGAGTTCCACTCTTTGGGAGGTCTGATATTTTGACCTTTTTACAAATCAATCAGATGATGCTGCCTCACTCTCCTCAAATGGAGTTTACATGTTCACAGTGTATCAAGGAGTCCATCTAGTAGATCAAATGTTCATATTGTATTGAGACAAACAAAATATTTCTCAATCAGTCCTTTAACCTGCATAGATGTGGGAGACATTTGACATCTAGATGTTTAACTAGAAACAGTCGACCGATACAGTGTCTTTTTAAAAGATGTGGCAACCATCTGTTACCTCACTGACAGCACCTTTAAAAGTGAACACCGTGGTCTTTATTGGCTCAAAAAGGCCATGTGTGTTAAACTGGCTTCTTCACTCTGTAATCCATCATGAGCAGTTATGTAAGAGTGATGGAAGGGATTCGCGGTTGTAAGAGCCCTCTAACCTCAGGAGTTGGTTTTACTCCAGTGTCAACAGGAGGTGTGTAAGAGAGGTCAGCTGTCGGGCCTGCTGAGCCCTCATGGGACAAAGAAACGTCCGGTGGCTCACTGAAAGACGGAGCTGCTTTTTGCTTCATGGGGAGAATCCCCAAAGTCAAGCAAAAAGCCTGTTCATTGAAACAAAGACCCTTGGCTGAAGCTCTGCTGACCTCCAGACATGCCTTAACAACGAGTCATGAGAACACGGTGCATTTTTAAATAAATATTTCACACCGAATACGTCTGCCCATCTGATAAAGTGCCTCAGGCTGACGTCTGAGCTGTTTGCTGCTGCATACATGTTTTTATAGCTCCTTACTTGTGCACATGTAAATTATTGGCAAGAGTCTATCAGCAACTGACAAACAGGTTGAGGTCTTATTAGCAGCATTCTTTTTCTAATAAGGAAACTTAAGACTGCATTGAATGTGATTTTAAGGCTACCCTTTAAAGGCCACACAGCATCAGTGAAATATGATTTCATAAACTCATTGACCGGCTGCTCGGGTTTTGCCTTGAGGTGGCTGTACTGACAAACAGTCTGCAAGGGTGAGGACAGGGTTTGAGTGGGAGAGAAGGGCTGGGCACAATCTGGCTTAACGTCTCAGATGCCAACCATCTGCAGCCTTGGACGTAAGGAAACAGACGGAGAAGGGAAGCTCCAAGTAATGGAGGAAAAAGGGGATGAACAGTTTTGAGACTGATCTCTCATCTTGCTGCTCGTTCACACGATGGTATCGAGGGAGAGCTGCCAATTACAGTACACTAATACTTTACTGATCTCTATAGGGGAATCAGTTGAATTCAGTCTATACTATACAGCACATCTAGAGGTGTTCGAAGAAGTCTGCAGTCTTCAAACTATTGCTCCTGGAGGTGCACCGCTCGACCGGCCAGTCCTCTCAAATGTATCAGATTCTGTGCCAATCTCAGATTGACACTCATGAGCCACAGAGGGAGGCAAAGAAGTAAAAGAGACTGCAGGTAACATCCTAATGAAATAGTCACCAGTGTAGTTTATTTGTTGGGTAATTCATTATTCCTTCAGGAGTTGGGGAGAATGCAGCTGAAGAGAGTGAATCACCTTGGATTGGTCATGTAACCGAAGTGCAGCTTCTTTTAATAGTTAGCCTAACTAAGAGTTTCCATGGATGAAAAGTAAAAAATAAAGGTTTGTTTTCGCTGTCAATGATATCTCTTTACAGAAAGAAAATCTGAATCAGCCAATATCTTATATCCTCACCTTAAAATATTCAATGGATTGAGCAGTTCTGATGTTAACAGGTAGACTGTTCCACAAGTTTGGAGAAGCCACCGCAAAGGCTCCGTCACCTCGAGTGTTTTTAGCTGCATGATGGGACATCCAAGAGCATCTGGTGAAATGACCTCAGTGCCCTGACTGGAGCATGTTGGTGACACAGCTCAGACAAAAAGGAAGGTTTAAAACTGTTCCACACAGTTAAGATTTGGTAAAAATAAATAAATAAATCTACATTTATAAACTTGAGTTATGGATGTGATATGAATGAAAGATTCCTGAAATAAACACCACTTTGTACATCTCAACTTTTATCCTAATTTCTTTTGCCATGTTAAAATCTTCCGCTTGCTTTCTAACTAGTCTTCACACACTTTCAACTGCATCATAGTGAGATGTGCAAAGAAGACTTGCACACAACGGTCACAGAGTGGTAAATGGACTTGAGCTTGTATAGCGGTTTTCGAGTCTTCTGACTACTCAAAGTGCTTTTACACCGCATGTCACGCCTACCAATCCACACACTGATGGCAGAGGCTGCTCTGTAACGTGACCATCAGAAGTAACGTATCCCATTCATACACATTTAGACACCACTGACAAAGTGTCTTGCCCTAGGAAACATCGGACATCGACCGACTCTACCTACCGAGCCACAGCCGCCCTAAGAGAGATATATTATGATTTCATACAACATGAGCACCTTGACTCTATATGTCAACAGCTGTACCACATACATGTTCTCTCATTACTTCCAGCAGACCTGGACTTTCAAGACCTCCACGATAGCATCCCCGCATCTCCACATCCATAAAACTCCAAAAATCACATTATAAAGAAGATCAAACCAGCAACAACAACCCCTAATGGGGACAAGAAAGTCTTGTTTTATTCTCTTCCCTCGAGTCATAGAGGGAAGAGGGGGAAAGAAAAAAACACAGGATAACTTGCCATTGTGCTGACTAACCCCATGTGTGTACAAGTCTTCATTCTGCATCAACAAAACTCTTAGTGAACCCCACGGAAAGGCCCTGCACGCTAACAAGGCCAAACCACAAACCACCAGTTAAATGAAGGAAGTCATACCACATGTGTGCTGATCTCCAGTGTTGCAGGTGCCGTCAGGGCTCAGGAGTGAATCTGAGTTGAGAGTGAGTTACGGCTCTCATGGTGCGACGGGGGAAAAAAGAAAGGCATCTCCTTTGCTTCAGCCGATTCCAAATTGAACACAGCCAAACTACAAGCTGAAAACAATCTTCTCTCTGCGTATTGCATTGTGATAAACAACACTGAATGATACGCTTTACCTCTTGGGCTGCACCTGTCTGGACCTTTCCTTTCAACAGAACAAGAAACAAGTCAGACAACCTCCTTGAATTAGATACTACAGATACGTACTCTTACTATTGAAACAGAAGACCATTTCCTTTGAAAAAGAGTCTTGTTTGTTTTTGCCAGCGTCCGGTCTAATTCTTTCTTCATTTATTCTAATCTCTGCATCAGGTTGGGGTCCAACACATGTTCAAAATCTAAGACAGAGGAGAGCTGTGATAAGGTCTGCCGAGTACGATAAACTCCATGGATACTCGTGTTTACACAGTGTTGATTCAGATTCCACTGTGGTGAGACTCGAGCATCACCAGCAAAATGTGCTGCTTTAACAGGAGAGCAGATCAGATTCCCACAACCTTTGATTAGAGTCCATGCAGTAAACACTAAATCAGTTTACTTAGTAAGGAGTTTAGGAGTGTCTGGCACAGTCCTTGGTTCTACTCTGCCATACAATACTGGAATAACACATTGATATGTATTTGTTGTGTCATGTCATTGACTAGAAATGACATCTCACATACAGGTCGGATTTTCTATGTTTTTTCGCATCCGTCCCTCTGTGTGTGTGTGTGTGTGTGTGTGTGTGTGTGTGTGTGTGTGTGTGTGTGTGTGTGTGTGTGTGTGTGTGTTTCTGGAGTGTGCCAGCTGCTGATCAGGATCAACAGCTTTGAGGAAATTGTAAGTGTTCTTATTAATGAGTGGTTCCAGTATAGAGAGCAGCGTATCAAACTGGATCCTGACATACACCTGGAAGCGATCAGGATAATTCTGCAGCTCCTCATCAACCAGACAAAACTCCTGTTGACAGATGAAACTCTCCTCGCTCTCGTTTTCAGGAGAGGACAGAAAACGTTTTTTTTTTGTTTTTTTATTGCTATTTAGTGAAAGAACCACTAAACTGCGTGATCACTCTGCATGATGATTACGAGACACTTGGCCTCATACTGTGAATTTTTCACAATTAATAGCAAAACTTAACGCATCGGACTCAGAGTGCAAGGTGTCTGTGTGCATGTTTTGCAGTGTGCAAAATTCTTAAGATTGCCAAGATTTTTGCACCGCCCGCCTGAAAGGGCGTCGTTTTGCAAAAAGATGACAGCATGCATGTAGTGTATCGTGAGTGTCTGACCACAGTTTAGACAAGACTAAGCTCATCAAAACAACATAGTAAAAAACAAAAAATGAAACTTCTATTTAAAGTATTCCATGATTTCTTCTTTTCCTTTTTACTCTCGTACATTTTTTGCAGGTTTTTTATGTTTTTCAATACAGCACAGTCTGTAGGTTGTGTGGCAGGGGGATTTATTTTAACTTAGAGGGGAGGTTCGCAGCCAGGAGGAGGGTTGCCTGATCAAAACAGATGGAAATGAGCTTGTGTCTAGTTCTGGTTATTTTTCCAGATTTATGCATTTTGTAACTGCTTCCTGATGCTACTAAATTAAACAAACATTCAGCATATAAAATATATGCAGTGTCATAGAAAGTGTCATATAAAAGACACAGGAGTCTTGTGAAGCTCGGGGTTCTTTGTCTTTATTGGATCGTCTTGTTCTCCAACAAAAATGTTTTGTCTTATAAGTCTCTCCTTTGGATATAAAACTCTTGCTAACATGTCCATAAATCATGTATTGCTATATTTTGAATAACAGCAAGACATTTAGAGTGGAGTAACATATCTCTCGAGGCGAAGGACTGTTATAGACACAACAAGAACCAATACTGCTCATGTTAAAATGTATTAAAATCTGGAATGTAACTCAACTCATACTCCATAAAAACTCAGCAGGGGATTTATATTTAGACTCCCTACCATGGATTTATAAGACTGGATGCAGAACTACCCTGGAAAACAAAAGGGCCTGGACTCGTTGTTGAAGGAAACCCATTAGAATTGACTCAACAGGGGGGGAGACATTTTTATGAGGCTATGTTGGTGGTAATGTGGGGAAAATGTCCAATATAACAGCACCACTTTCAAATAAAGTGTTAAAGCCTAACCCCCAAATCGACAGGGTCTCTTAGTCCCTGTGCTCATCATCCAGCTGTGAGTTCTTTCTAACAGCGACAAGAACTACAAATCAGTGTATGTGTGCGTGTTCCCCAACCACGCTGTATTATATATGGTATGTGTGTATTCAGGATTTCCTAAGGAATAGAATTGTTGTATGTGCATGTAACTCACCATCCATGCTAGCTGGGGGTCCCTGCTGTACTCCTGGATAAGGGGCCTGTGGTTGGGGAGGCACTCCTGGCTGAGGGGCAGCAGACGAGGAAGAGTTGATGCTGTCAGGGGTTCCTGAGCGCTCCTCTGGTGCCACTGCTTGGGGAGCTACTCATACGGTACCGAGGGAGACACAGAGAGGAGATTTTGATTATTTTATGTCAGCAGCTTACAACTGAAACAAAAGCAATACTTAAAGTAGAGCCCTCTGCTTTTTTGAATGTGTTGTATTTGCGTGACATACCTGGGGCCTGATCCTCGCTCAGGCCAAAAGCAGAGATGACATTCTTGCTGACCTCGTCCTGGTTTTTTAACGGGTCAAAGGCCGACATGCTGGCTGCGCTGACTGGAGTGACCTGTTTCACTGTGGGGTCTGCTGCCATCACTTTACCTTCACGTCCGTCCACTGATTCTGGAAAACAACAAACCACAGAAGAGGTTTGATAATGAGCAGAGACAAAGACGCTGACAGAATGAGGTCATGTTGCGGTGCCTGTGCGCAAATTACACTAGTTTGAGTCAAGTATGAAAACGTTTGTGATTGCATCATTGACAAAAGCATGCAGCACAAGTTATTGAGCATTTTTCACAAACTACTAGCCTTGACTCCGTTACGGGGATTCACTCAAAAACAAGTAAACCTGTTTATCTCAGCAAAGGGGCCACTTGCAAACTCCAGATCACCCCTTTTTATTCATTCCTTGATGCCAGCAAAAGTACTGGCAGCCTGGGTTTGAATCTAACCTCTGGTTTCTTTTCTGCATGCCATACCCCACTCTCTCGCTCTCTCTCTCTCTCTCTCTCTCTCTGTCTCTCATAAAAACCCCCAAAATAAACCGTAAAAAAAAAAGAAGAAGACAAGACTGAAGAAGCTGAGGGAACATGGCCGCACATGTTCCCTACATACAGCTGTGGTTTAAATTACAATGGGTGTTTTTCTCATTGAATTTGGAGTGGGTGTGTTTTACTACAGTCAAACTGGACTAAACCAGTATGTTTTATAATAGAAGCTGTGTGTCTTGTTATTCCAGACAATTTGTATTAACATAAAAAGAAAATCATGTGAACAGTCTGGTGTCAGTACCCCGACGGTATATAAATGTGAAAATATGAACACGTTTTATTTGTTAAGGAGGCTGTGTGAACCAGAAGAGATGCACAAGGACTATAATCTGTGATTTGCACAAAAAAAAAAAAAAAACTAATATGACATGTCTGATAGATACTGGATGTTTAAGCCAATGAAGGAATAGATAATAAAGTCAAATATTAAAAAGCTATCACCTTAGAGTTTTTAAAGATATATAAATTACATGAACAACAATATTGAAACTGATCTCCTTGGTTTGTAGAGAAGGTGACCAAAATACAAACTTAGCAAAAACACTTTATTAATCAATAACTCTGCACATTTTTCAAAACTCTCTTTTTGAAACTATGTCCTTTCATTTGAAGCTAAAACTTAGTTTGACATATCTGTATTCAATATGGACTCAGAAACTATTTACACAAAGCTAATATTGACTAACTACAGTAGGTGGTCTAGTTACAGCCCATGTTTGCAGATGTTGAGTGTGTGTGCGTGTGTGTGGGGTTTGCTTACCACTTTCGGGGGCTGAAGCAGCCAGACCGGGCTCTGAGGGGGGCTCCAGGCTGTCCAGGAGGTTGTTGACTTTATTCCTGAGCTCGATGAGCTCCCTGCGCAGGTACTTCACCTGACTGGACTCCAAAGGCCGCGGCTGTCCATTAACTGTAACGAGAGACGAACACGGAGGACACAAGAGGGGAAAATTAAACATATCTTGTGTTGTTTGTTTGGCGGAGATCCCTCTCTCCGGCTCTGCACAGCTGACTCCACTTGTGTGTTTGACCTCGGGGATAATGATGGATAGAACTCGGCTCGTGATCGCTTTTACAGAAAGTTTAAAAAAAAACGCCTCGTCTGTACCATTATTAATGGGGCATTTTTCTACTTTACTGAATCTGGATCTCATTAGTGGCGCTCATTTGGGACAATGTTGTCTTGAACTTGAACTTCTTGTTCACACAGGTCTTTGGACTCGATCTGAGGCATTAGCCATAAGGAATATCTGGGTCAGCCTGTAAAGAAATGTGTCAGCAGCCAGGCAGATAACCAAACCACAGGAAAAAACAAACAAAAAAAACGAGATTGAAGAGGAATTACAGCTTGTGAACTTTATACAGAGAAAAGAGGAATTTGGTGGAAAAAACAGCCATTTAAAAAAAAAAAAAAAAAAATCCAAGAACACACTTTGTTCTTCGCTCCATTAAACATGTTACTGGTAGATTTGGGTTAAATGGTTAGTATCCATTCTAAATGATACAAAGAGAGCCATCAGCAGTAGAACCGGACAATTATCTGCCAATATAAAACAAACACACAGATTTAAATCATGTGGTTCGTTTATCTGGAAAAGCTCTTGATGCAACAGTTAAGTGTGTGGATATTGTGAATGATGATCTGCCTCAACTCTTTTGGCGCCACACTGTAAACACCGGGGATTATAGCGATCATCTATCACATGGTTGCGTCCACAAAGCCTTTCACAATAGCAGCTAAATTAACAGGGACTGAGAGCTTCATCATCACACACTTTGAGCCAGGTAATTAATGAACAATGGAGCTGGAGGAATGCTGGGCTGACAGGGCAGTGGTTTGTCACGGTTAAGAGATGCATTCAAATGGATTCAGGACAATGGGAGATGGCAAACAGGGCATCATTTTTTTGTTTGAGAGAAGGTTACTCGATGACAGTAGGCATAGTGAGACTGGGGACGGTAAACATGGCCCCCTCACATAACAACAAAGTATGAGCAATTATGACAACTTGGAGGAAATACTTTTTCACAGCCTTTTTTTTAGACTGCGGGTTCTGCAACAGCGCCATAACGAAGCGCCACCCTCATTATGTCTTTGTACTGTCACATTGATTCTGCAATGGCGTATAATATGGGTGTCCAAGACTGTGATTTCAAATTGTGTTAAGGCGTTGCGGAAGCAAGAAAAAGTGGGCGCCACACATACACACTCAGACATTCAAGTGCTGTTCTCCCTGGTACCATCTCGCCTCTGTAAAGCCTGTGTAACAACATCCAACGGCGGCACAGATGTGACATTTTTTGTCCTACCATTACGCCTCTATGACATAAATAAATATTGTAAATATTGTGTTTTGAACGGGCAGTCGGAATAGGGATCAGGCAACAACCCACCATGTCTTTCCCGCATCAAACAAACAAAGAAAAGGCTCCAGTTCTCCTGTCACTCATGTTGGAAATTAACAATTCACCTTACATTTTACAGGTGAGTTTGAAGCGGTTATCAAGTGGTTCAGAGTTTGCATGTTCTCCCCTTGCATGTGTGGGTTCTCTCGGTTCTCCTCCCTCCCACAGTCCAAAGACAACCTCGTTAGGTTAAATGGTGACTCTAACTTGCCCGTAGGTGTGAATGTGAGTGTGGCTGCTTGTCTGTCTTTATATGTCAGCCCTGTGGTGGGCAAAGAGGTACAGATAATGGATGGATGGTAATCAAGAGAAAGCTTTTTTATAGCTACATGCATTACCACAGTATGTGTTTATGTCCTCTTGTGACCTGACTGCATCTTTGTGAACACAGCAATACTTAATGAAATATAATGAAAACAACATACTCTTAAATTCGATTATCACAATGATAATCTGCTACAACCAACTGAACATTTTCTTAGAATTCTCTAGCTGATACCCCAAAGCACTCGGGGCACACCACCAACTTTTTAAGACTATATCTTTTCCAATGCAAATTGTGTTGAGGAGTTGAAGTTTCCGACACCACAGAATAACTTCTAAGAAACAGCAGACCCCCAAAAAAATGCCTTACACGTTTCTCTGTTTGAGCGGATAACATTAAACAGAGACGCATGGGGGTCCCGAGGCCCTGAGCTGACACACAGGCTGCCACGAGATCCCAGCTCTCGCTCGCTGCGAATCCACACATGTTCAAGAATATCAGTTCCACGTGAGGTCATGACATGTAAAGATGAGCCAGGACTCAGGTTTTCTTGGGAAAAAGTCCAAAATCTTTTTTTTTTTTTTTTTCTCAAGAAGAAGAAAATTCTTACAGATCTTAAGCTAAAAATAGCAGTAACAAGACGACAGCTTGACTGGAAACAGAGCAAAAGGAACGACATCATGTTGTCATTACGGCTTCAAGGGTGAGCGTGTGTTACTGTTATTCTAACTCTCTGTGCCATTTGGAGATTTTTGAAATCTTGTTTGGATTATTGAATTTGTAAGAGACAAGCCCATGGTGTGCCTTGGTTTTGAGTATTTTGTTTTCCCAGCTGATAGCAATATTCAGATATATTCATCTAATATTGGAGACTCAATATCTTTTGACTTTTATAAAGTGTATGGCTTTCTTCCCACACTGAAGGATCTCTCAATCAACTTTATTCCCTGGAAGAAGAGAAAGCTCAGGAATACAAGTTAAAGGCGGATGTTTCACTGGTTATGTAACTAGAAATGAATAAAGATGCCTTCTTATGCCCTACAAAAAGTAAAACAGGTCATCGGGGAATAAACTGATTATTGCCTTATAGTCATTTCAAATGTCTTTATGTGCTGCTGCAAGGTAGGTGTCAGACACAGCTATTAGCAGCACACTGAAGAAACAGCCTGTTCTGACATTTCCACGGCAATTGACACGCAAGACGGCTGAAGAAAGCCGGTTCAGATTTTTTTTTTGTCAGAACACACATAAACATGTACATCCACACCAGAAAAAAATCACACAAACTAAAAGTTCATCTCAGGAGCTTTGGGATATATTTGCAGGACATAAAATAATAAAACACTAAAAACACTGAGAGATACAATCAGTTCAAGTTGTATTTTGGCATTTCATATTAAGCCTGTGTATTGGACATGACCTTTCATGGCCTTTTGTTTTCACATTAATAAAGAGATGTATCCCAGATGTCGACTCTGGTCAGAACAGAAGAGTTCCATGTCAGATGGGATTGAACCCGGGGCCTTATGATTTGTAAATTATCTTTGTTTTTTGCTCTCAAATCAACAAATTCTGTAATTTACCAAAAGTTAACCGATCGTTTTGTTCTTTCTACAAAACAGAAACAGATGCCCTGAAATGTTCGGTTAATAACGAATACCACTAACCATCTACCGGTATGTGTTCAGGGCATGTTTGGATGAATTCTATGATAATGTGTGGAGTTAATCAAGTTTCTCTGAAGGTGTAGTGATTAAATCAGACAGCATATACCTACAGGCTTTGTAAATACTCGCCTCACTTTTAAATTAGATTCTTGTTGCGGCAATAATCAAAATAATACTCAAGGCTGAGTGATAAATGATTGTAAACACATCTTTATCCAATGTGTTGTCTCAATGCACAAAACCAAGCCTTCACTAAATGTATAAGGGTGAGGCTGACAGGTTGGGGAAAGTGATTCATCCGTCTATGGCGTAAAGCTGAAGTCACACAGCTCCAGGAATACAGAATAACTGTGGACCAAGTAGGGCTTACGAATTTTCAAAGATTAGCATTAAACCTGTATAACTGGTCAGGAAGAGCTTTAGTGAATGCATCCAGGTATTACCTGTCACTTCCTTTGTTTGCTGAACCAGCGCTAAGGAACACATAGAAATCACACCCTTAAGTTTGTCAGGAGGGAGAGCAGAAAAACTTTCATTTGAGCCGAGTAGAGCCGAGGTTGTTTGTGTAAAAACTTCAGCTGGACTGCCCTCCAGTGACTGCTCGCTGTAATAGCTGTGGGAAACATGTTGGTCTACGGGTTTGTCATGATGTCACAATCACATGATTTCAGACTTTGAGCAGAAACTTGTATCTTACCAAACAAGGTGAGTTTGAGTATTCTACTGCACTGGATGGCAAAGGAGAGGTCAGAGCTGTCAAAGATAGTGATGAGGTCATCATCTAGAAAAATGAGAAAGAGACCATAGGTTACACTGTTCAGAGACATGATCTAGACAACCGGGTCGATTTTGGGGGATTTTGACCCTTTCCCCGACTTACCTTCATCCTTGTATTTGATCGTAACCTCGTCGTTACTCTGCAGCTTTCCCCTGAAGACGCGCTGCATCATCAACACTAGCTCATCATATGTTATGTCTTCGTTATGGATAGGTATGCGTCTGATATCATCGCCCAACTGGGCTTTGATGATCAGCTTCCCGCTCAGGTCCAGCTGGCCGTTCATGGTGCCGTCCGACCTCTTCTGCTCCCACCACTGACGGGGAAGAGAGGAAAGGTCATTTACAAAAACATAAACAAATAACATGTCCATTGTCCTTCTTTTTTTTTTATCACTATCTCTTATTGCTTAACACAAATGTGAACCTACTCAAACATACATCTTTGAAACATGACATATCTGCCAACAGCAGAGTTGGCCTTACCTTGAGAATGTATTTGTTACAAAAGAAGAAGAGTTATGATTTGAAAAGCAATGCGCTACAGCCAATTAGGAATGCAATCCAGTGGTTTCACTTTTATTATTATTACTTAATTTAATGTCCAAAGGCACAATTAAATTTTGTTATTAACCAAGAATTTATTCAATAAGTCTTTCAACATGTTTGACAATGAGGCAATTCCTATGCAAGGTACGATTTTCTCAAGCTAGTTTATCCTTATTATCAACATACAAAATGCAATCAGAAGTGTTCCTAGTGGTCAAATATCATACAGCTACACTTGAGACTAAAGGTCAAACATCACTGAGTGAGGTGGCACAGACTGTTCCCTCCAGCAACACTTGTACTATAAAGATCAACTCTATTTTGTTAATAAAGGTTTTATTCAATAGGTCTTGCAACATGTTTGACAATGTGAGGCAATACCTATGCGAGGTACTATTTTCTCAAGCTAGTTTTTTCCTTATAATAATCTAAAATCAAAATACAAAATGCAATCAGAAGTGTTCCTAGTGGCCAGATATCACTTGAGTCTAAGGGTCAAACATCACCGAGTGAGGTGGCACAGGCTGTTTGTTCTCTTATCAGACTTTGAAGAGCTCAAAAAAGCTCCAGCAACACTTGTACTATAAATGTCCTACAATTCTAGCAGACGCTTTTATCCAAAGCGACGTACATCAGAGAGTAAGTACAACACAAGCAAGGATCTAGAAAAAAGGGAACAATGTCAGTAAGAGCAAACGATCAGCTTTGAGTCTGATTGGACACACAGGTGCTGACAGGAAGTGACCAGAGGCAAAGCACAACATTGAGGGCAGTTCTTGAGAGCTCTAATCAGTATAGAAACCATCTTATAAGTCGTCGTTATCAAACAAAAACCATCGTCATTACCATCATCATCATCAATAATATGGAGACCATCTTTTTCTTAAAGGTGCAGAGGGACTCTGCAGATCCAATGGAGTTTGGAAGTATACTATAAAGATCAACTTTATTTTGTTAATAAAGGTTTTTCACTCTTCATTCACACTTAGTTAGTTGGTGAAGTTTTGCCAGAAAATCCCCCTTGCTCTCACAGTATCAGACTTTGACTTTATCAGTTTGAAAAACATGAAAACAAAGCTTTTCAGAGTCATAATGTGTACGCTTGACACATGTAACCATTTCTTTAGGTGTGTTAAGATCTTTCACACATTCTGCCTGTGATAACTTTAACACATCTCACCCCACACATCACAGACTAAATGGACAGCTGACCACCTCAAGAGTGCAATACAAGTGTGCAATATTAACCTTAAAAATAAAAAAACAATGCAATTATATAATGTAGAAAAATATGTGTGCATTAACCTCAGGTGCAATAAGAGATAATAAGTGCAATAAGAACAATTATGTTTTCATTTCATTGTACAGTGTTCCCCTTGTTATTTTTTTTGTATTATATCTTTGCTTTAATACAGTGTATAACTTCTGTACAGTTTATTTTAGTTTACTTAGCTGTTAATACAACTTGCTTATTTTTATTGTATATATCTTTGCTTTAATACAGTGTATAACTTCTGTACAGTTTATTTCAGTTTACTTAGCTGTTAATACAACTTGTTTATTTTTATTGTATATATCTTTGCTTTAATACAGTGTATAACTTCTGTACAGTTTATTTCTTTACTTAGCTGTTAATACAACTTGTTTATTTTTATTGTATATATCTTTGCTTTTAATACAGTGTATAACTCCTGTAAAGTTTATTTTAATTTGCTTAGCTGTTAATACAACTTATTTATTTTTACTTTTTTGTACTCTTTCTTTATTTTTCTTACAATGTTATTCTATTTTATATATAATTTTAACTTTTTTTTTTGACTCAGGGAGAAAAAGCACAAGAATTTACCTGTGCTGTCCTGTACCTGTGCAAACGGCAATAAACATCTATTCTATTGTGTGCCACCACCATTTGGGATTAACCATGACGTAACTGCTGATGTTTTTATAAAGTCGGACAATATACAACAGTGGATTTAAATCCAGAAAACGCTCGCAGGCTTTGGCTCGCTGCAGTGCCAGATGAGTAATTGGCTGGATGCTAAGGGATTGTGTTGTTGCTATCAGTTTAGCACACACTAATGGGACGAAAACAAGCTGGTTTTCTTACCCCACCTCACCTGGTCCTACTCCAATAGAGATCTGGGCCCTAGAATTGAACATTTAAAACGATGTCATGAAAAAGGCATGTGTAGTAAATGTAGGATGTAAAACCAGGACGCAGAGTCATCCGTCTGCGGCCCATACACAGCAAACTGCAGCTCATGTTTGCAGGGCCGTGTCTGCATAACAACAGCGTTAAAATATATAAACTTCACATGCAGGATGAATAGAAAACATGCAGTGATGTCCCGCTACTCGGTTACACAAGAGGCATAAAACAATCTGGTTTAAATTCACTTAGTAATCGGTCGCTTGATAGTGAAGCTAAACAGTTAGCTTGCGAGCTAGCACACCCAAACAGGGAGCTAACACCAAGTGAAACTATCCGCTGAATACCCCGGATGACGTGAAGTTTCTTTCTGTTTTTTTTTATACCTTAAATCAGACGACTTGACCCCGCTGTGTTTCACAGGTTTTCCCCCAAAACTGTGGAAAATCCAAACGTAAGCTAGGCTAGCTTCACCCCGGGTTGGCAGCATCAGGAAGTGTCCTCCAAACTGTCAACGTCAAACAGTACGTGGCATTCATTGTGCGCATGCGCAGAGTTCCTGGACCAAAGTGCGCTGTGATCTAATTGGACATGATAGTCAGTCTTAGTGTAGCATTCAATTCTTGTTGAGTCATACTCAGGCCTTTTGATAATGAATGAAATATCTTTAAAAAAATAACAGTACAGGCAGCTGTTGAGATCACAATCTTTATTTTTTAATGGTTTAGATCAGGGGTGGGCAACTGGCGGCACGGGGGCCACATGCGGCCCCCCATCAACCCTCAATGCGGCCCTCAGGTCAATTTTTACACAACAATGAATTGGAAACATGAAGAAAATGTGACAAAATCTGCCATGAAATCATGAAAACCAGAAATACGTCCATAATAATGTTTGATCACTGGCATATGTTGAGTTAAATTTGAGACATAATTTTTTTTTTTTTAAATAATTTATTCATAATTGATCGTTTTTGTATTCTACAATTTGGCCCTTTGGCAGGGAGAATTAATTGAATGTGGCCCTTGCTGTGACTAAAGTTGCCCATCCCTGGTTTAGATGCATTCTGCGTAAAACACAATGTGGAAGGTATCTTTAATAAAGAAGATGACATCATCAATGGGAAATGTGCTTCCTCTGACAAATAAAATACAAATATACGGGCAAAATGAGTCTTTTGGAGCATGTATGCTTAAGCCGTGTTATTATATAAGCATAAAACAAACAAAACATGTCCTGGTCCTCCTGGAAAACTTGTTTTTCAGCATGGAAAAAAGCTGTAGATTATGAAGAGAACTGGAAAAGACTGAATGCAATGGATGTGGACTTGATGCAACTCCTGTTTGTGTGTTCTGGACAGCCCAATATCTGCTTTTAATCTATAAGACACACACACAAAAAACACATCCCTCTATAAATTGTACATCTTTCTCTATTTGACAGATATATATTTCATCGAACAGTTGTGGTGAAGGAATGATGACGAAATAAATAACATAAATAAGACTCATAAGTTATTGATTCACTCAGGCCTTTTGATAATGAATGAAATATCTTGAAAAAATTAACAGTGCAGGCAGCTGTTGAGATCAAAATCTTTATTTTTAATGGTTTAGATGCATTCTGCGTAAAACACAATGTGGAAGGTATCTTTAATAAAGAAGATGACATCAGCAATGGGAAATGTGCTTCCTCTGACAAATAAAATATAAATATATGGGCAAAATGAGTCTTTTGGAGCATGTATACTTAAGCCGTGCCATTATAGAAGCATAAAACAAACAAAACATGTCCTGGTCCTCCTGGAAAACTTGTTTTTCAGCATGGAAGAAAAGCTGTAGAGTTGATCAAGTTATGAAGAGAACTGGAAAAGACTGAATGCAATGGATGTGGACTTGATGCAACTCCGGTTTGTGTGTTCTGGACAGCCCAATATCTGCTTTTAATCTATAAGACACACACAAAAAAAACCAGATCCCTCAATAAATTGTACATCTTTCTCTATTTGACAGATATATATTTCATAGAACAGTTGTGGTGAAGGAATGATGATGAAATAAATAACATAAATAAGACTCATAAGTTAAGTATAAATTAACACTGAAACAGTTTTTTTCCCAAAGTTTTTTCACCCCTCTATCATTTCTTCTTCTTCTCCTGAGTGGCGTTGAACCATGAGTCCAGCAGCTTTTTCATGTAATATAACTGCCAGGCATGCACTTGCACGGCGACCACCATGATGAGGTACATAACAGTCACAGCAGAGAAGCCGAAAATAAAGCGATAGGCCTTCCCGTGGCGATAGAGCTGCTGCGCGACAGGAAACATCTCCATTCCTCCGTAAATGAGAGGCGCCACTGAAAAGAGCCCCGCGCTGATCATGGATATGACCATGTAGCTGATGTTGTTCTTCGGAAGCGAAAGGCTGCTGCAGAGTAGCGGGAGAAGACTGAGCAAGTAGGGGTACTCCCACTGGTACGGCATGGACACTGTGTCGTGTGACACCAGGTCGAAGTGGCTGACAGTCACCTGCGCCGCCACGAGCAGCCAGATGAGAAGGTGGACCAGGTTCAACTTCCTCACCTCGGACTTTTGAGAAGCACTAAAGAAGAGATCAAAAACAAGCAGTAAGAATGTTTGTTGTTTTTACAAGTCAGAGTATATATTCATGTTCAACGGCGAAAATTTGAAATACGATAGATGGAATTACTTGCCTCATTTGGTATTCTGGTGCCGCCCTTTCTCTTTGTTTGAAGTCACTTCCATTCGTACCGGCAGCTCTGGGTCCAACACGTGATGTCATGTTGAATTCTTACTGAAAAACAAGACACAACTTATTTCAGATGACAAAAACTATAAGGATTGCAACTTGATTTTCTTTAATTATTCAATGAAAAGCTAAAAATCCTCCCAACTTGAAGCTGGAACAATGGACTGGGGTTGACTCTGTGCTTAAAGTGAACATCTAGTAATAATAAAAATGGTTTCCACTTGTCTTCTTTTGATCAAATAAGGTATTTTTTATCTAACATGCCACAGAATGGACCTCCAGTAAGGGTTGTTGAGGTAACAAAAAATGTGCCATCAGGAGGAATAGAAAAGTAAATAACTACATAAAATCAACAATATGAAGCCAGACTGTTGTCTTATTCTGATATTAATTTAGAAAACAAATATCCAACCTAGCAGAGGCTTATAACAGATGGATTCAATGGATTGTTTTCACGATCTGATGAAGGTTAGCACGTTAGCTCCTATTGCTATCTTACCTAATTTAACCTCAGCTTTAAAGAGAAACGTCCTGTATGTTTGTGCTGTCGTCGTGATATCTTCAGCAACGACAATAAAACATCACAGCATTTTAAATGTAGGTTGCTTTCAATGCTTACCGCAGCGTGATTCCGTTCAGTTCTGCTGAGCTCCTCGTTTGAATTTGTACAAACAAAAGATGTGATATATGGATGTTGTAAACCGTACTGCGCATGCTCCAAGTCGCAGAACACAGAACACCTCCCACCACCGCAGCATCAGCATCTGTCAGAGCAGCACGCAGGCGGATGTGGGCGATTTGAACTCGTTTGAACTGGAACTGGCAAATTTGTCTTATCTGTTGATCCTGTAATTCATCCGTTTATTTTTGCCCAAAGATTTTCTTTAATTTTTTTATTTGGACAGGCCTGTAGCAGTCTTGGCCTGAAACGTGCTTAGCAAAAAAAAAAAACAATCTTTCCAGATATTTAAAAAGGTATTAATCATAAGTCTATGAATGATAATTTAATTTCAGTAATTCATGTTTTAGTTTAAACACTATTGGATTAAATTATCAATGACATGCTTTATTAAGCTTGACCAGATAATGTGTTTATGGAGTTCCTCTTCAAAGCTCGACTATAATTACCACATTTCTCAACTTCTAGTGTAATTAATGTTGCACTGTTGCCTTATCAGTATTGTCAATATGCAGCTCTCAGAAATATCACCAGCAAACCAGGTAACTCTTACTTGGGAATAACACTTGCTTGCAGCATCAATGTCATGAATATCAATGTGAAATTAAAAAAAAAAACAAGTTTTAAATGAATGTATGTAATTAGATTTTTGTCAGGGGAGCTGACTGTAAACAGGCAAGGCAAGGAAACACTTGGGGCCCCAGGCAAGTAAGGGGCCTCCCCGCGTTTAAACCACAGCATTGGCTCAAAATGTGACAGTAGGACAAATCTCACAGGAGTCACTCTTGTTGCACTGTCAAGCGTTGCATGCATTATTGCTGTGAAAACCTTTGTTTGTCAATGAAGTCGACGGTTTTTACTGTCCTTCATATGTATGTTTCACATTTATTCATTATTTTTTGTTGGTGTCATATCATTTATGACATAATGGTGATAAATTCTGGTTGGAAATTTTTCCTAGGGCCCCAACATACTTTAGAATCGCCTCTGCTTTTTGTAATCTTAGATGTAAACACAACAGCAGCTTTTTCATTTGAACAATTTTTATTAAGAAAAACAGACAATAATAACAGACATAAAACATAAAGACATCAAATCTTTGGTTATGAAAATATTAGCACCATGGTACAAAGGAGAAATACATTATATTTTTCCCTTTAAAAGTTGTCACGTTCTATGTCTTTGTCTTTGCATGTGGGAGATCAGCAAACAAAATACTATAATATTAAGTTAACTGTTGTTATGAATTGCAGCAACATTCGATTTTTTTCTCTGAGTCTATCAGTTGTAATACATTTCTTTTGTGTTTCCCATGAACCTTGATTTTAGACAAATGGATAGTGTGCCACCTCCAGACTTTGCAACAGTGGAGGAACTTAATATCTTCAGTGACATTATACTGCCCTTCCAAACGATAATGAATTAGGGTTACAAAACAGTCCCACAATATTATTGGTTGGATGATAAATAAAAAAAACATTACAAAAAGTACATTTCATTCTTATGCGTTTCTTGATTTTCTTTGAAATGAAACTAAATACAAGCAGAGTCAAAGATAAAATACTCAGAGAGATTTTTTTCCAAAAGCAGAATGGACTCGATCGATGCATATGTCTGTTAAATATAATGTTCTAGTTTTAACTGTTAAACTGTTCATGTTGACAGGTTGGATTTGTATTTTCTGATATTGACCAAAAGCCACTTATACCAGTTTAATCTTGCAGTTTAGTATTTGACATAGAGATGATTTAAAAATTGTAGCACACTGTTTACATGTTGTAATATAATGTATGGAGTGGTTTTTCATACTTCTGAGCAACTAAAGAGTGTTCCTTTCACCTCCGCATATCTGCAAAAAACATAAACCTTCATGCAAACATTAAAAAATACAATTAATATTACATTCTTACTCCTTGAATCTCACTCATGTGAGCAATTGTCTGTCATCAACATATATCATGAATGTGATTATTTATTTTGCCCGATTTATTTTTTGTGCTCCTACAAATGCGTCAACTGCCATTCAAATATCCCCTAAAAAGCGTAGGTGTCATTTAGTTTGCTCCTGCACTGCATTTGCAACTGAGATGGTAACTTGGGAGGTTGAGACATTGAGCTATTAATAATAAGAAATAGATAGAATACTCAACTTAAGTCCAAACGTAGTCTTTTACTGGTTGCATGACCAGAAATGCGTTCACTCCAAATACATGACCAAATGGCTACAATGCAAACTAATTTACATGATGGCCTTTATCAATAGCAATGCAATACATGGTAAGGATCCACACATTTTCTTCCAAAATGAAAAACAACCAAATGTTTCTCATGGAATTTCACATTCTTTACCACATGGGGTAGCTGCCTGTTTTGATGAGGAGCAGGGTACAAAACAATGTCACCAGAAGTGTGTGGTTTTTTGTATTTTCTTTTGCATACACTTCACATTATATGCTTTATATGTTTGTGCCCTTCTGGGGTTTGGCACGTTTCTTTATATATAATACATCTTGAACAATCTTCATATTGTTTTTTGACTGACATTTATATATTTTATGATATTGTATCTTCAAAGCTGTCAAAGAAAACATCTTTTTTTTTCATTTCCACCAATTATAGGACTCCAAGGCAGTAATGGCAGTATAAAAGCTGTTGAATATGCAGACTCTCATACCTCAGGTTTTTCCCAAGAAATTATATCTTCACCTCTCATCTCTGCTGATAAGATCAAAATTTGTTGACTTTAGATTAGGAGATTGCGTGTCTGAGGTGGTTTATGATCATGATTAATTTCATACAAGTACATGCTACCCTATGTACTCACTGAAGCCCTTCCTTCCCTGTAGTTTTAGGTTTTACATCGGATATAACAAATACCCAGAAAAGGAGGAGTGCACATATTGCCCAGCATAAAGTCCTGATGCCTGATCTGAGGGCAGCTGTAAATACACAGTGTCCCCAGGTTGTAGAGGTAATACGGCACTCCCTGATGCTTGATCGAGGAAACCCTTCTTGTATTCGTCATATGTATACATCACTGGCTCGTTGTTCCTCATCAAAGCCACCCACACATTAGCACCTTTGCAATGAATGTGGTAGGCAAAGTAATAAATGCCAGGCATGTCACAGGTGAAGATTCCTGTCTCGGGATTGTAGTTTTGACGACCATTGTACAAGAGCTTTTCAAAGACAACTGGAGTGCCCACAGGTGGAAATGGAGTCGTTACTATTGCTGTGAAGGCTGGCATTTCCAATCCACTGGCCCCCATTACTTCTGCCCCATTGCCTCCATACTTGCCCATCTTGTCATAACTACCAGCCTTGACACCATCTACTGCAGGGCCCATCTGGGAAAGCACTCCAGCCATGTCAGGAGACACACCAGATTCTCCAGGTGGGCCTGGGGGTCCAGGAAGCCCAGGCTGACCGGGTTGTCCAGCGGGTCCTGATAGACCATCTTTGCCTGGAGGTCCTATGGGACCAGGAAGACCTGAGGTCCCCACACCTGCAAGCCCAGGTGAACCAGGTGTACCGTTATCTCCTTTTGGCCCTGGAAGACCGGGAGGCCCAAGTGGTCCTGCTGTGCCATCCATTCCTGGGATTCCCTTAGGACCTTGAGGTCCTGCTTCACCTGGTAGTCCACCTTGTCCTTTTGGCCCTGGAAGTCCTGAAGGACCAGGGTTACCAGGTAGTCCTTTATGCCCATTTTCTCCTTTGGGACCACTTGGTCCTGGCAGACCTCTTGGGCCAGGCTCTCCCTGCTCTCCAGGAAAACCATCCTTACCAGGTATCCCTGGAGCACCCTGTTCCCCTTGGGCTCCATCAAGCCCTTTAGGTCCTCCTTTTCCACAGTCTCCTTTAGGACCAGGTGCGCCTATACCTCCTGGGGGTCCCATAGGGCCAGTAGGACCTGCTGGACCATTTGGTCCAGGTGGTCCAAGCATACCAGGTAGTCCTCCATAGCCCTTGTCTCCTTTTGGTCCTGGAAGTCCAGGTGGCCCACTCATACCTTTATCACCCTTTGGTCCCGGAAGTCCTGGTTTACCAAATCCTGGCAGTCCTGGCTTTCCTGGCAAACCTGGTGGTCCTGGATAACCTTTTACACCTTGCAGGCCTGGCTGTCCTGGCAGACCATTTACACCTGGCTTCCCTTGACCAGGTATACCTGGTGGGCCAGGCTGTCCTCCGTCACCAGTTGGTCCAGCTGGCCCTAGCTCTCCAGGATGTCCTTTATCTCCCGGTGGTCCATGTGGCCCTGGTGCCCCATTCAACCCTGGCTTTCCAAAACCAGGCAGCCCTCTTGGACCAGCAGGACCTGGGGGCCCTGGGAATCCTTTGTGACCAGGTTGGCCTGGCAGACCCATCCCCTTGTCTCCTTTTGGTCCCGGTAATCCCGGTAGTCCTGGAAGACCTTTGTGTCCTGGCTCACCTTTCAGCCCTGGTTGGCCTGGCAATCCTTGTACCCCTGGTTTACCTATTCCAGGTAGGCCAGGTGGTCCCGGGGTACCCTGAGGCCCTGGCTGTCCTGCTGGCCCTTCTTCACCCCTAGGACCCATTTCTCCTTGGGGCCCTGGCTCCCCATTTCCTCCTGGCTTGCCCTGTAGTCCTGGTGAACCTGGTTTTCCCACTGCAGGCACTCCTGGTGGACCAGGAGATCCAGGTCTCCCCGCAGGTCCTGGCTGTCCATTACCTGAAGGCCCAGGAGGTCCTGGAGGACCCTCTGGCCCAGGGGGTCCAGCTGGGCATGGCTCCCCCTGGGGAATTCCCTCAGCTCCACTAGGGATTGTTAGACCTATGAGTAATGAGAAAAACATGCAATAAGATTGTGTTTATCGGATTGTCAAATGGGCAGCAGCACACAGTAATTTAATACAACTCTATACACTCTCTCTATACATATCTAATAGAAAATAAAGAAACTTTGTGTCTTGTTTTGTTTGTTTGTCAAGTCACACATGATTAAGATTTTTATTTTATATTTAGAGGACTGTGGGTCACTGACAATTGGAATTTTTGATTCTCACCTTTGTCTTGGCCACCATTATAGCCGCCCCCTTTGCGAGGATTTTCTTTGCCTTTGTGCATTGGCATCTGGGGTAGCTCCTTCCTGTATTGGGGATACTGTATATAGGGCCCCTCTTTGCCAAGGTACTGCTGTTGGGGATATCCTTCCTTGCCCATGCCCATGTGTTGGAGGTGCTGCATTGGCTGGTATTGCTGAGGATGTTGCTTGTGGCCATAGTATGCCCCGGCACTTACACAGGTGAATACTACTAGTTGTAGCAGTGCAAGGATGAGGAGGGAAGGGAGTGGAGGCATGGTCAAGGCCTGTATAAAAGGTAAGAGTGACAAGATATGAGGGAGGGAACAGCTAAGCATTTCTTGATGTTACATTGTCCTCCACTATCACTGAAAAATTATTGTAACAAGAGACAATGCTTTGTCTCCCTCTGCTGGACATACATTAGATCTGCATACTGGTCTTATGAACAGTTAAGTCAGTGGGTTGAATTTTGTTGTAGGGTCATTGACAGCTTAGAATCAGAAAGCTTCAATTACTGTATGCCATTTGCACTTAGCAAAAGTTATCCTTTCTCCAAGAATAACCTTGAGCATTTCTTCTATAAAAGCCACAATAAAGATTTCAATAAACAAAGATGTTTTGAATGTTTTACAGCCTAAATTACATTAACTTTTAGCACTGGAACCCATTGATATACATAAATACTGTTCTAAACACATTTAATATGATAATAAATAAAGTCAAAGGGTTAACGTAAGGGTTAGTTCAAGTTCAATCACAACCACTGCAACAAAAGCATTTATTTTAAATATAAAAATTACGCACAAAATAACAGTGAGGAAATGATTTTGAAAGTCTGTGCAGATACAACCATTTAAAACATTAACATCTTGGGTTGCCTCCACCACAAGGTTCCAAATGTTGCAAAAAACTGAGGGAATAGATTTTTGACCTACTGCTGTATGAGTGAAAGGGGTTGTGCTCAAGAACAATGATAGTAATACATGTAATATACAATTTAAGTTACTATCTCACAAGCCCAACTTGGATGAACTGCATGTACTATGGTTGTCCACAAGAGGGAGCCACCATCAGTGTCACATAGAAAAGCATCTTCAACATTTAAATCTGAATGAAAGTGATTCCTTATGGAAACTGAAATAATATATTTTTATTTGCAATTGATTTGCAAATGCACCAATTCCCTTGTTATTTCTAGATTGACAAGTGTGTGAGGGTTTTCTGCCACATTTTAGTAAATTAACCATGGTGCACACTTGTGGTACAGGTGTTAAAGGAGCATTCTTGCCATTCCTGCAGCATAAAATCAGAAGTTGACACGTAAAATTGATCCTAAGACATTTTAAATTGAAACAATTCAGAAATATCTTAAGCTACCTACAGTTTCCACAAAAATGTGATGGTTTTTGTTTGACCCCCCCCCCCCCCCCCCCCCCCCCCTTTTGGTCTGCAATAAAAATAAAACATCTGATCCAAAAGTATACATTTGAACGAACACAGTTGTGGTCCAGCTGTGCCGTTCAGGATCATAGCAGAGCATTGGATAGGACATTTGCTTTTGCTCTACCCCCACGATCATCTTGCTTGGTTTATTGAGTTTTATTTGAAAGCCATCTACACCTCAATCTCAGTTCTACAGTACAGTACTCACTTCCTGCCACACTTCCCAGCCAGGGTTAAACTGCAAACCCGGCCATGATTTTATTCATTCATTTCTGCTGTAACCACATCCTCAGTGTCCAATCCATCACTCGCTCTTTGGATCTTTTCCGCCCTCTGACCTTTTCTCAGTCGACTGGTGATTTTGACATGGCCGTGCCACTGTCTCCCCCAATGAGAGCCGGTCTTTGAAAGAAGCAAACGTAGTCTCCACAGCGACAAAGACCAGACATGCCAAAGAGGCCACCGAGGAATGCCAATGTGTTTTTCCCAACAAGAAGTGAAACCTATTTTCCCCCAAAGAGTGAAAGCTGTGGTATTTTCCCAGTTTCATAATTAATGATAGGACATATAGAGAGTGTAAGGTGTGAGCATTAAGCCTTTTCTATACTGTGTTTGAAGCTGTGTTCAGATCCTGGAGTGCTTAGATGGACACTATCTGGGACAAGACTGACTATGAATAAAGATAATAGAAAAGAATGAGAAAGTAAAGATACCATCTGTTTTGTTCAGGGAGTAAAAAAAACAGGAGTGCATCTTAAGTTAACGGGTAAAGGAGGCCTGAGGATGTTTTTGGGATTAAAACACTCTCACAAAGGTTGTCGATAATTTAATGCACTGGATTATAAAGGGACAGACATAAAAGGCTTCTAAGATTTGACGGCTGGATTTATAGGTTAGAAGACAGAGGTGCATTGATGCTAAGACATTTTTCAAATTTTACTATTCAGACACACTTTGCCTACAAATACTCAAGAGTATCAATGAACTACAGAGTTATCAAGAAACTATCTCACTTCATGCCAAAGGCAGAAACGTTCTCTTCTTTTTGACAAAAGAGAACCATTGATTGGCACTAAAGCTCCAACAGAGCTGAGTGATATGGATAACACCAAATGTACTTGATATGAAATAATTTATTCATTTATTCTGATTTCAGAAAATTAAACTGTATTCTACAAAAGCTAAGATTGCATCAAAATTATTCTGAAATGATGAACATGTGTGCATACACACACATGTTCATAAACACATGATCCACATTAAACACAGGTTTAATTTCAGATATTTATCCACTTGCAGAAACATTCATTGGATTACAGTTGAATTAAAATCTGGAAACATTTTATATATTGTATAGAATTTAGTTGTTATGTATATAATAGATAGTGAAATATCGGCAAACATAAAAACACATTTAAAAAATGTCGATGTCTATTTTATTTCCAAATTTCTGTTGACGTTTTTATAAAATATCTTCCATTGAACAGAGCTTTCTTATTGGACACTACAAAATGACAACTTCAATGTTGAGTCATGTTTTTCTTTGAATAAAACAAAAAATACAGAAACAAATTGTTTAAATGATAAAAATCAAATACCGTGGCAAATTTTCACCAAGTAGAGTGAATACAGATTTGTGATGTATAGTGTGATATAGCATGTACAAATATTTCACAAACACACGTTAGCACGTTGTGTGAGCTGCTGCGACCGGAAAAGAACGTCCAACAGCATCAAGCCACCATGGATAGTACAGTCCAACAATCTGTGTACCACTGAACCATCACCTGCACTAATTATCTCTCTATATAACAGAATATACACACAGACCATTAAGCTGCAAATATGCTTAAAAAATACATTCTTGGGCGCTGGTAGTCCTATGGTTTGCGCGTCCCATTTAAACAGGCTGTGGTCCTCCAAACAGGCGTCCTGGGTTTGAATCCGACCTGTGGCTCTTTTACCGCATGTCTTTCCCCTCATCTCTCTCTCCCTGATTTCTGACTCTATCCCCTATCCTATCAATAAATAAAGGCACAAAAAGCCCCAAAAAATTGTATTTACATTTTTACATTATATTTTTCTAAGTTCTATGTAGTCATCGGTATATATTTTAAGAGCAAAGTTACATTTTCAACTTGTATTTTTAAGTTAAATACAAACTGTTTTATGTGTAAACAGTTTTGTTATACTGTAATCCTTCTCAGCTCTAATTTAATATTTATTTCAAGTTATTCTTTTATTGTACTTAATTAAGTTTGTGTTATTTTCACTTTGGCTTTGGCAATGTAATTGTATGTTTTCCATGCCAAAAAAGCCCTTTTGAAATGAACTGAACTGAAAGAAAGAGAGAGAGAGAGAGAGCGAGAGAGAGAGAGAGAGAGAGAGAGAGAGAGAGAGAGAGAGGGAGGGAGGGAGAGAGAGAGAGAGAGAGAGAGAGAGAGAGAGAGAGTGTGTTTATGTGTTTTTAAAGGGTTGGGAATATTCTGACAAAACGTGCGACCACAGATCAGAGGGACTGCTCACAACGAGGGTCTGTTCAGTGTCACATAGCAACACTGTGATGTTGTCATGACAGCTGCAAAGTGATGCAAAACACCTCCTGTCTTTACCTGCTGTGCTTCTCTCCAACACGTTATTCTACATAGGTGTCCGGCCCAGAGCGACTGGTTTACACTTTCATAACCTAACCAGAAATGTCCATATCTTTAGAAGTAGCAGAAAATGGAGAGAGAGGTATTTTTGGAGTTTAACAAATAGACTAGAGCAAAGAAGATGTCATATTAAACCTTAATATTTTAAAAGCTAGAATCATACTTCCATCTGTATTCATACAGATGTCAGACACGGAGCAATAAACTAATGTGCCACAACAGTGAGAAGTCATGATGGCGTGAGTGACATGTTGTGAGCTGTTTCTCACATTTGTCAGATGAACGGTTTTAATTTCTCACACACTGGTGTAAAACAGTTTGGCTCCATCAGTGATGACTCTCTGACAAGCAGCCATTTGCAACAGGGACTAAACAATACTGCCAACCATGTTCTACATTTTCATGTCAGGGTAGATGTCACCCATCTGTCATACAGTTAACACCTTTTTTTAGACCTGTTTGTTTTCGTGGCAGGAAAAACTAATGGAACTAATTTGGGGCTAACACATCAAAATGCAAAGCTTTCTTATTTTTTATTCAGAATCCATAGCATATACAGTCTGTGTGGTTTATTAAGGAGGGGTGCCTCATGTCTGATTGAGCTGTGAGCTCAAGTTTTGGAAACATGAACACAAAGAGGAAATATTGCAGACAAAAGAACAAGTGTATAAATTATCCTAATTTGTTTAAATCTGAACTTCCAAAAATTTTAAAAGCCAATTTTTTTTCAACAAAACTACTGCAAGGCTAGTGACTGTGTGTGGCTGCAGGTACAGTGTCTCTTTGAGTCAAAGCTAACAGCAGCATGCTACCAGTGAAGACATCCCTCATCCCAAATATGCCCCTGTACACCCACCAGCATTGCCACCTTCAACATGCAAGCTCCAGGTAAGACAATGCTAATACTACCTACCCTACCACACGATCAATTCTGGCCCCCAAAACTCATTTAGTCCCACTACACCTCGGGTAGGCCGGACAGTGTGCTCCAGCATCCCAGAGTCACCCCCCCCCCCCACGCCGAAAGCTGAGTGTCATACAAATCAACATTTTTAACCAGATTGTTGCCCTAAAGAAAAAGTCAATTAAACAAAATAATGTTGCAGCAATGCCACATCTGATGGAAAGCAGATCGTTCCAGCCAAAGGTGAAATAACTTACCAAAGGTAGAGTCAAGGGACCAAACC